AGAGAGAGAGAGAGAGAGAGAGAGAGAGAGAGAAGAAGACTAACAGATTCTGTCACCTTGCCCACGTGCTTCAGAAAGTTGGCCCGCAAAAAGGTGGTTTGCACGGCCGAGAGCGTCAGGTGCCGCTTGCCCAGCAGATTGAGGATGCTCATGCCAGACTCGCTGTAGTCGGCAGCCAGGTCCTCGAAGCTCATGCTCCCCGCATACTTCAGGTGGTCGTAGAACTCGTGAGGCTCGTCGGTCAAGATGAGCAGGGCGGTGCCGAGGACCTGGAAGAGCAGGGCGGGGAAGACGCGCAGATCAGGCGACAGCCCCTGCGGCCCCGACGACGACAGCGTGTTGAAGGACAGGTTGTTCCACTCCGCCAGCTGGACGAGGAAGATGTCCTCGTCCAGGGGATAGTAGTTGTGGTTGAACTCGCGGAAGTAGATCTTGATCAGCCGTTCGATGTAGCCCTTGGCCGGGAGCTGCCTGATGAGGGACTTGTATTGCTCCTTGATGGCGTAGTGTTCGTCGTCGGTCGGCGGCGCGGAGGCGGACAGGCTCGTGTCGCCGTTGGCGCTTTCGATCTTCTTGAGGAACCCAATGGTCGAGCCCCCGGACGGCGAGTAGCCCCAGTTGGCGGCGGCGGCGGCGAGGCTCTGGAGTGGTGGCAGCGTCGGCCCGTTGTGTCCCGGTCTGCTGCTGTCGATGGACGTCTGGCCGCGCTCTTTGGCCGTCGGCGCATTGGTTTCGTAGCGGCAGGCGGATTCCTTCTTGCGTGCTTTGCAATTGGCACAGGGCAGGTCGCGATCGCACTGGCCATGTCAGGTGAGCTTGGGTCGCCGGAGGAGTCGAGTCGGCACAGGCAAACGAGAAATGGGGAGGGGGGGGACGGGGCGAACCTTTTGCTTCCTCCGGTGGCACTCCGTGCACGAGATGACGATGCGCCTGCGTTTCTTGGGTGGCGCTCGAACGTCGGGGGGCACATCAGCCGTGGCATACGCCCTGTGGTCCTCCATCTCCATGTCGAGCGTGGTCTATCGACGGGGCCGTGGTCGAGCGATGGTGTTGCTGGTGGCCTGGTCGAGGTGGGAGACGGCGAGGTGAGGGTGAGGGTGAGGTGCAGGATGGAGAATGCGCCGGGCATGGGAATGAAGGCGGGCGGGATCGAATTCGCTTGTCGTCATGTCCGACCCGGAGAAGTGGTTCTTTACGCCCGGCACATGATTCCGCCCCCCCCCTTCTCCCCTCCCCCCTTGGAATTGCCACCCCGCCAACCCACCTTTGCTAGAGCGGACCTCACTGCGATTATGTAATCTGTATTGGACTGTTGGGACTTTGCTCAGAACTGGACAGCCTCGCGCTGCAGGTCCCTATGTACCAGGTCCCTATGCACCTAGGTGGTCAAGGTAGGTAAGGTGGTTCAAGAATACCATGAATAGCGGTCATAGATAGGGGCACTCTCCTGCATGCAATGCAATCCTTAACTCCGGCCAGTTGAACAGATTTTGGGCAGCGGACGGGCGCCTCAGATACCGGCAGACAAGGCCCATTTCCCAGCCCTATCCATCTCCACTTCCACTGCCTTCAAAAGTAAATCTTCACCCCAATGTAACAGTAACAGTCAGGCCGCCAAACCTATGCCTCCTTGTAGCCCGGGCGTTCAACCAGGTCCCCTGACGGCACAGCGGGACAAGTCGATGCAGTGCAGCACGCGTCCAGTCACGTCCAAAGTCCGGCTCGGATCCACTCGCACACTTTTTTTCTTTTTCCGCAACACAGCACCTGTCCTAGATAGAGCAAGCAACAAAAATAGCATGGAGACACCACAGCCGTGATAAGCCAAAAAAGACAAAACCGTGCCCGGCAGGACTCGAACCTGCAGCCTCGGCCACCGGAAGACCGCGCGCTGCCATTGCGCCACGAGCACGAAGGGACCTGATTGGTGGGGTCATGCTCGGCCGGCGAGAAGGCCGGTTCATATCGCAGTGTTTGCGCTATTACGTCGAGAGGTGGTCCACTGACGCTGCCTTTCGTCCTGGATGTCATTTTCAGTGTCTTGGACTTTTTTTCCGTGTCGAGGTCTTTTCCAGCTTGTTGTCGGCTTCGGCCATGAAACAGGTACGCAGTAGCAGGTACGCCTAAGTATCTTGTCTAGGTGCGGTCGAAAGGCCAACATGAAGGCCTCATGAAGACAGACGCCGTACCATCCGAGTCCTCAATCGCACCGGCTACGGGTATGGTTGACGCCCAAGTCAACACCGAATGAAGCAGATTCGTCATGCGGAACTCGGCAGTCCCCTAGTCATCAACAAGCGTACAATGACGCCATCTGTGATGGGCTCCCGCTCGAATTCGACTGCCGCGTGCCGTCTGCCTACCTACCGTGGGTAGAGTGCGTTCTGACTGCAGATGCGACTGCAACCTCGGGAAGGTTAAACGCCAGCACCGCGCCAGCACAGCAATGTCCATACGAAGTAGCAGTCCGAGCCCTCAACAGAGCCGGTTCAGAGATGACCTGGGTGGAACGCTGGATCCAGGAGCATCCATGGGAGTACGCCACTTGTCAGGACATATGCATGCAGACAGAAAGTCGTGATGCCGAGAAATCCACCAATCAACCCTGCTTCGACCACGGATAGTGGTAACCCTGCAGGAGCAAACTTTGGTTCCGAAAAAGAAAAAGAATAAAGTTAGACCATCGTGAAGACGAGCCAAAGTTGAGCAATGAATAGCCCCGCAGGAACCTACATCCGGCATGCCGCTTCAGACGGGGTGTCGTGTGGCTCCGTCGGCATCGGATGCCCGGCGCATGCAACGTCCGGGGCAGAAGGGGGGCGAAGGGGAAAATGGAGGGGGGAAAAAGCAGGGTGATGGTGGTTCGGGCGCGGTTCTACCCGGACTACCCATCCGGAGCAAACCGACCCGGTGCACGACCCGGTGCAGGGTTGCAACACCAGCGAAGCCTTGGCCGCCAGACCCCGATCTTGACTCGATCTGCATTGCTCATACCTACGGTCGACCTAGCGCCCCCTTGTCGATCTGGTCGAGAAGGAAGGGGGGGAGGTAGGGGGGAGAGAGAGGGGGGGAACGTCCGATCTGCCAGTCGGTTGAACGAGCCCGATGGCGGGGCACATCGGGGAAAGCAACATCAGACGTTCAGGGGTTGCGAGCTTCGACGATGCAAGATCAGCAGGAGAAGCAGCACGACACATGGATGGCGGTGTGCCGCTGAGATGTGCATCTCGAGAAGTCAGGGAGTCAAGAAGTCAAGGCAGGTGGGTCAAGGCTGACGGGCGCCCGAGAAGAGGCATGATAGTCTCCCTCTCTCCCTCTCATTGATTTTGGTCCTCTCTGCCAACGCCTTGAGAAAAGATATTCCCCCCTTTTTTTCCCTTTGCCGTTCCGACGGTCTGGGACTGTCTAAATATCGACTGGTTTGCCGCCCAACCCCGAGCCAAAAGTGCAGTGAAAACGGACCCAAACATGTGAGCAGCAAACAGCAGAACAACGGCAATCATCAACCCGGGCTCACTGATGTGCAGCTAGAAAAGGAAATAAAAATGAACATGAAAATGGGGAAACGAAAAACGCGAATGATCAATTAAACTCCCAGGGGTATTCCGTCTTTCCCACCGAGCCGCCCTCAGTTCTGAGCGACGCGCGACAGGTAAGCCTTCCACGCCCTCGTGCGGTATCTCTCAGCCTCGGACTGAGGGTCACCCGCCTTGAGGATACCCCGCCCGACAATCACGATATCTGTTCCGCAGAGGCCGACGAGCTTCTGGGGCGTGTTGTACTGCTGGCCCTTTCCGTCGCCCGCCACCACGCCGTTCTCCTCCTCGCCTTCCGGAGGCAGCTGGCAGCCGGGCGTCATGTGGATGAAGGCGTCGTCGGGCTCCGTGTTGAGGCTTTCTTGCGAGACGTAGCCCATGACGAAGTTTCGGTTTTCCCTCGCCGCCTCGACGCAGGCCTGTGTGTACTCCTGATTCATGAAGTTGCCAGCGCTTGACATTTGGGCGAGGATCAAGAGGCCGCGCTCCATGGGGGGCTCCTCGATGCCGGCGTAGAGAATGTCGTCGCCAGGCATCTCGCTGCGGGGGAAGCGCGGCGAGGAGGCCGACTCGTAGTGTTGCGTCAGCGTGGTGACAGAGACGATGCTCCCCTTACGGCCCTCCTCTCGGTACCCGCCGCGGGGCTCGTCGGTTGATCGTGGGATGGCATCCTCTTCGTGCTCGTCAAACGTCTCGGACCTCGGCGTGCCAACAGTGACGGACGTCTTGACCTCGTACTGGTAGCGCTCGCGCCACTTTGCCTCGGCCTCGGCGAGGGCCGTGACGGCGGCCTTGCCGGGGACCATGTTGACGTTGATGATGTGGGCCCACTCAATGATGCGCGCGGACCCAGCGACGTATTGCAGCTGCACCGTGTTGCCGATATCGCCGAATTTTCGATCCTCGAAAATCAGGAAGCCATGTTTGCGGGCGAGCTGGGCCAGGCGCGCACCGGTGCCGGTTTGCGGGTTGAAGTCCCAGCCGGCCACGACATCGTGGTGTGTCTTGAGCACGACGATAGAAGGTCCAACCTTGTCGGCGAGGTGGAGGAGTTCGCGGGCGGTCGACACATCGGCGCTGAGGCAGAGGTTGGACGCCTTGAGGTCCATGAGTCGGAAGAGGTAGGCGGTCAAGGGATGGGTGGCCGTCTGCGCGCGGGTGGCAAAGGTCGCCTTGAGGCTTTCGTGAGGAGACATGGTGGGGTGACGCTGATCGGAAGAATGCGATGCGATGGTCAGGTTGCGTCGCAGTCGTAGTTCTTGTCGGAGGCAGACAAAGGAAGGACGAAATTTGGTCCGTCTGCAGAAGAGGGGCGGGTAGGTGGAGGCGGCAGAAGATGGGTCGATATTCCAGCTGACTAGGGCGCGTTTTGCTGTAGGCGGGGTACAGACGATGGCGATCGGACCGCTGGGCGCGTGTGATGGAGATGGTGAGAGGAAGGAGAGGGTAAGGGGGGGGGGAGGGAGCGGGTATGTAAGAGAGGCGTGCGGTGCGGGATGTGAGTTGAGAAAGGGAGAAGGAGGAGGAGGAGAACAGAGGCAGAAGGTGAGGTGAGGCGAGGCGACGTGAGGTGAAGAAAACCAAGTGCAGTCGGCCCACACAGCGAAGAAGGTTTTCGAGTTAGTCGGGCAACCGTGAAGAGCAGAGAGGAAGGAGAAAGAGAGGGGTGGTGGGATCCGGGAAGGAACTAATCTACAGTAAACGGAAGGGCGACCCGGGAGAAAATAAGTACTTTGGGGCACCTTTTTAGGGACGTGGAGGAGTCGGTGTTTGTGTGAGCCCGTACCTACGGGCGTGTTTGTGTGGTGGTGAGGGTGGGGAAGCTTCGAGGTAGCAGCCAGGTACCTAGCTGAAGGTCAGGTCAGGTCACCTCAGGCCAGGCCAGGTCGCCCGCCCTTCATCTTCCAGGTAAGTGAGAGGTGAGGGGGAGGGGCTAGCAGCTAGCAGCTAGCAGGGGGGCGCCTGGCGGCGGGGGCGCGCCAGCACGCTGGACAAGCCAACGACATGGGGCCTTGATGGTGAGGAGACCGGGGGTTGTGAGTGGTGAGGTCGTTCAGGGTCAGTCCAGGGACAGGGTGCATGGTAGGCAAGTCGGGTCGGTGCCTCGATGTGCCCAGACACACCTATTCTGGGTGCTGGGTAGTCCATTTCGTGGGAGGTGTGCCTAGCTAGGTAGGTAGGTAGGTCTTCACTCAAAAAGTCAAGTCCTCTACAAGGCCACGCTCATGCTTGATGGCTGGGCTGGTGCCAAAGTAACGGGACGAAACATACTCCCCATCATGTCTCTGATGACGCTCTTGCTGTACCTTGGTCCATGGCAAATTGCCTGTTTGAGGTGCCGGCCGGCGCACTGGGGTTTCGGAATACTTCTTCTTTCATATCACAAAGACATCCAGCGCACAGTAGGGGGGGGGAGTGGGCGGCACGACCCCAGTCAGGGAGTCTGAGAGTGTGAGAGGCCTCGCCCGGAACGTTCCGCGAGAAAAGAAAAGCAAGCATTTCAAGTCCCCAAGCTCCATTACCGCAATGTAGCAATGGCACGATGAGGCGTCATAGCAAACTGCCCTACTGCAACCTATCGCGACGACGACGCACGCTTTCAGCAACAGATCGGGGACTCGGACACGTCAACCTGAATTTTGTTGTGAGTCCTGTGTGGGGGGACGGGAGGGTGGAAAGGGAGGGAGGAGGGCGGGGGGGGGGGGGGGGGTTCCAGTTCAGTCTCCCAGTCTGACCCAGGCCAACCGACTTCGCTTTCCCCATTCCTTGGATTTGATGGGCATACAACCCGACTGGGTGAGCTGAACGGCGTGATCACGGCTCCTTGACCGGGTATCAAAGTCCAGACTCCCCGCGGCCTCCTCGCATCCTCACCCCCTGGTGGATTGGTGCTTGAGGATGGAGACCACCACTGGGGAGGACAGAAGGAGGGGGGTTATTGGGTGTGACATGTGGCGCTGGGCAAGGGGTCCCTGATTGCCGCGGCCAAGCCCTCCCGCTCAGTGCCCCCCCATGCTCCCTGATGATTCGAGTGCCGGCATGTCTCGCCTTGTTCGTCCAAGGCTTTGCGTCGTCGTGAAGGCTGTTTGCCTCACTCTTTTGCCGTTGTCGTCGCACAATTATGCTCGACGCGGAGGCAGGGAAGGGGGGGGGGGCTTTCGATGACATGTCAGTTCGCTCGAAGCCAGACGCCATCCATCAAAGCACCATGCTAGGTGCTCCGGGCGGGCCGATGCGACAAGGGCCATGTCTGTTGGATAGCGTCAGAACTAAGGCACCCAGGGATCCTGACTCCTGCAGCGTTGATGTGCCGAGCATCAACTCGACGAACTGTTGGCGGTTGGTGGCTTTGTGCTGTGCCCCCTCCATTTTCTGGTGTCCCTCTCTGTCCTCTGCAGTGAGGCAGGTGGACAACACTGGATGCAACCAACTGGTCTCCCACTTGCGAACAAACCTTGTGCGCCGAGGCGGTTAAGTAGGTCGTTGTCGGCCGCAGCCGTGGCGTTGTCCCTGAGTCGGCATGTGCATCGTTCTTCTGCGATGCAGGTCGACTGCCAGGGTGGTTAAGCTGTTCAAAGGGCTAGCTCATGCCGATGCCCAAACAGCAAGCCTGCCCTCTCCAAGTCAAAACTTTCGGGCCGCAGGAGCAACATGTCCCGAAGGTACTAGACCGGTCAACGTGAGAAGGGCATGCGCTGCCCGCGCATATGGGTATGGGAGGCAAAACACTATGGGACAAGAGGATTGATTTGTTGGGCTGGCAATCGGCAGGCTGTCGGGGTCGAGATGGGGGAATCCTTCGATATACCCGTCGGTTCATTCAGGGCACAGTACAAGTCGAGGATCGTCCTGCTCGAATAGTATGCCTACAATGAACCCAGCTGCTACGTTACAGGATGGCCAGCCAAGCCAGACGCGCATGCCCATTCACCGGTCAGTCGCACGCCTTTAGTACTTAGCTGGCCAGTGCCCGACGGCAGTGGTCAAGGGTCCCAACTGAATCTAGGGGAGAAGAGAGAGAGAGAGAGTAGGAAGCCTGTTACTGCCCACCAGACACGGATGGCGGATGCTGACTCAGCAAAATTGGGGTTGTCTGGCGTTGGGACCTCCATCAACACAGCATCGGCATCGACACCGAGGCAGGCTTATCATCGAAGGTCCATAATCGGGGTTCTTATCTCGTCCCCTTATCTAGCACCTTCCCGTGTAGTTCATGGTGTCCGCCCAAGCCGCCGTGCTGTGTCAGTGACAGACCCCTAGGTGCTCAGGGCCATGCACCACCCAGTAGCCTACTAACAGCACCCTAGCAAGGAGCCCAGCTGTCGGGTCCATGACAGGTCCGACCCTACCCAAAAAAAAAACAGAGAGGGCGAGAGAGGGACAGGCCAAGATAAGTTGTCCAATAATCAAGCACCCGTGCTGTCGTGGCCGCATCTCTCCATTTTTCGAATCTCATCTTCTCGTCAGCACTCCTTTTCTGTTCAACACGTATTCCGGTTGACGAATCTCGACAAATCCCCGCGCCATCTCGTCCCGTCTACAACCCCTGACGCCCTCCTTTTACTCCTTGCCCGACCCTGCCGCCACTCGACGCGCGCCGATCACCACAGAACGGATCATCTTATCGGAGCTATCGTGCCCATCCGAGCCCTCCGTCGCAAAACCCCCTTCTCGTCTCTCAACCGACCGACACCTCAGCGTTGACCCTCAACGGTATCGCGCCTCCAGAGACACGCACCGAATCAAGAAGAACTCTTGCTTGCTCCCTACCACCCCCACAATCCAATCTGACACCATGTCCTCGTCAACCCGATCCTCGAAGAAATCCAGTTCCAGCTCGTCCAAGGTCTCGCGCAAGGCCTCTCCGGAGCAGCAGCCCCTGGTCAACGGCAACGGCAACGCCAGCGCCAAATCCAGCAGCAATGGCACCGCCGCCACGGCCGCTTCTACTGCGGTAGCCGAGGAAGAGAATATTTTCGTCTTCTATCCCAACATTATTGGTTCGTACTATCATCCTCGGCGGCCGACCTCGGCTGTCCACGTCTTCGCCAGTAATGCTGACGCCGAAATCTAAGGCTACGTTCGCATCGTCCTCGCCATCGCTTCGCTCTACTACATGCCGCTCCACCCGCGAACCTGCTCCCTCCTCTACAGCGTCTCCTGTCTCCTCGACGCCCTCGATGGGTACGCCGCTCGTATCTTCGACCAGTCGACACGCTTCGGCGCCGTGCTCGACATGGTCACGGACAGGTGCACGACATCCTGCCTCCTCATGTTCCTGGCCTGCGCCTTCCCCCGCTGGACCATCGTCTTCCAGCTCCTCATCACCCTCGACTTTGCCAGCCACTACATGCACATGTACGCCTCGCTCACCATGGGCGGCGCCGGCACCAGCCACAAGAATGTTGATAAGGAGCGCAACTGGATGCTGAACCTCTACTACACCAACAAGGTATATCTTGTCCCCCCCCCCCCTTGTGCACGCAACACGCGCAGCCTGCTAATGAGTCCCCCTTTTCACCCAATAGACCGTCCTCTTCGTCTTCTGCGCCCTCAACGAGCTCTTCTTCATCGCCTTGTACCTCCTCTCCTTCTCGTCGCCGCTCCTCTCCCCCTCTCTGCTCAAGAGCGTCGGCGAGACGGGTGCCGCCCAGATCCAGGCCGGTGCCCAGGTCAACACGTCGCTCCTGAGCGCCATCTTCACGAACCCCTACAGCGCCGCCGCGCTCGAGCTTGCCCGCGCCAACAAGATGGACTCGTTCTGGCCCTGGGTCCTCACCGGCGTCAGCTTCCCCGTCATGGCCGCCAAGCAGTTCATCAACGTCGTCCAGCTCGTCAACGCGAGCAAGTGGCTCGCCGAGGGCGACCTGCAGGTTAGGCGGGAGCAGGGCCTCCCCAAGAAGAAGAAGACGGCTTGAGTTGCTTTGACGTGGCCCTCGACTTGATGTATCTTCTTTCTCTTCTTCTTCCTCTTCTTCTTCTCCTTCTGCTTCAGCTTCGCAGTGGCGATGTCTCCTCTTTTCTATTCGCGTCTACAAACTTTACTGCACATAATTCGGCTCTACGCTTTTCTTACTTTGCGTGCCGACGGCGGGGGCGAGGGGGTTGCGAGGACGGCAAGAGAAAATGAGGGGGGAGGATTTCTTTCCTTTTGAGTTTCACATCATCGGATCATGGGAAGGACCTCGCCCTGCCGGAGCGGGAGGTTCTCGATAGCTCGCAAGGTTGGAAAGGTCGGCGTTGCCTGATGAGTCCCAGGCCAGACCATCTGGAAAGACTCGGGGGGCTTTCGGATTCACGAAGGAGCTGCGCACGCATTGGAAAAAAGAAGAGGGGGACCGGAAGTCGTCAGAACAGCGACCGGCAGCGCCGGATCGGGATGTATTGTCTCGGCATGGACCCCCGTCTTTTCAAAGCCTCGGAGGAGGGAGGCCATGGGTCCCAATATGGCCCAGTATGATGCGTGAAGAGGTTTGAGCAAGCGGCCGGATCAGATGGCCAACCGCATGACCCTCCCAAGAGAAAGTGGAGGGTCGGTCTAATATGGAGTCGGGAAGCTTCGTTGTACATTTAGATAGACCAAGCAAATTGCACTTTCTTTTTCTCTTTTTTACTTCATTGATATAAACCTTGAAAGAAGTTCCTTTCCGCCGCGAACTTGCCATCAATCGGTATGCAGGGATGCGTGAGTATCTTTCTTTTTTTGGAGTCAGCAGCCGGCATCTCGCCCTACAAGGCTGAGTGGCTGCATGTCTTGGTGAAATCAAAGTTGCATCGAGGTCTTGAAAAAGATAATAGAATAGGCTCCACAGCCCTGCTGTCACCTCACGCGAGTCACGCAGATCTGGAGAGCATGGTCAAGGGGTGCTTGGGCGGCTCAAGCTCGCCCGTTCCTTGCGGCGCTCGTATTCAGGCGATGGCGGCTTCCCCTGATGACCTCCCTGTAGGCGTCCGTGGAGAGCTTGTCTGGGGATGCGAGATAAGGGGGTCCTGTCGCTACTAGTAACCTTGACCACCTGTCTAGGTTTCTTATTTTTGATCTATTGGTTATAGGATTATCATTCATGACATTTTATTCCAAGATTAACCGCTGTTCGTCTCCGTTTCCACCGCACAGGAGATCATTCCGCCACAGTGTCGACGGGACAGTCGTTGAATAGCCTGCACCAGCCTGCGTCGACGATGTCTCCACGTGTGCTATTGAGGAACCTCCGCAGAGCCCGCCGATTTTAATACTCCGGGCTCCAATCCCATGCGTCGGCAGTGAAGAGGCTCCGCGCCATCTTATCCGCGTACATGTTTCCCTCATACCGCAGCCGCTGATCGCCCGCCATGCCCCGCGTAAACGCAAACTTCCTGTCCTCGGCCCCGTGCGGCACGGCCTCGCGCTCCTCCGCCGCCCGCGCCCACGAACTCGCGCCGCGATCTCTCCGCCACTCGGCGCCGCGGATGCCGACGACCTCGGTGGACAGCATGGCGCGGATAAAGTCGACAATGGGGTCGAGGCGCGTGCGCAGGCCGCAGTTGGTATGGTTCTTGTCCACCTGGTAGCTGGGACTCTGTTTCAGGGTGACGAGCAGGTCGTCGATGTCGAGGGTTGCGGCGTCTGGGAGGGCCTCGAGCGAGCTGGGGCCAAAGTCGACGGGGCGCAGGAGATCTTTGCTCGTGAGGAACTTGAGCATCTGGCCGAGCTGGAACGAGTCGCATGCCGAGGACGAGTCGTAGCCGAGCTTGCACTGGCGATCACGGGAAGAGTAGAGGGCGAGGAAGTGCCGCTGGACGGAGGCGATGGTGTTGAGGATTGCCTCGCGGCGGTGCTGGAGTTCGTCTGGTGCTCTTGTCAGATATTTGTGTTCGTCTAGTACAAGCTTGATTTTGCTCGGCTGGATCAGAAGGCAACCTACGTTCAAGATCATCTGGCAGGTTCCACCAGGCTTCTGTGCTGGGTAGCTCATCGTAGGACACGAGGGCACTCCAGTGAGAGGACCCGCGTTGGATGATCTCTCGTGTGGCGTCGTGCAGCTTCATCGGCTGATCGAGGAGCCAGGAGACGAGGATCTTCTGACGTAACACCTGCTCTGTTCCCAGAGCACTCTTGCCGCTGTCGGCTCTCAACGCTCTGTTGCTCGTCTTGGGCCACTTGAGCTTCAGACTCGCGCTCAGAGACCGTGCGATGACGGACCGGCAATCGAAGCGATCCGCAAGGATAGCCAATGTCGTGACAAAGAGCATGTTGATCGATGTTGCCGGCGTCTGCACGGGCTGTCCGTGGAGTATCCTCAGCATGTCTCCGAAGACCTTGTCACGGCCGATGGAGCGTGTGGCCTCATCATCGTCGGTGATGGTGATCCACGGCAGAGTTGTGAGGTCGGTGTTCTCTGATGCACGTTGTTCTACGGTGAGGTTGGCCAGCGACTCCTGGACAAGCCTCGCTTCGGCAAACTGGGTGTTGCCCAGCAGGTTCTCGAAGTACTTGGAGTGTCTCTGCAAGACGGCAAGCTCCACTCGGAAGGCCACCTTGAATAAGGGACTGAAGTTTGGCTCGGGAATCCGCAGCGCCCCTGGCTTCCTGGTGGCAGCCTGGTGGGCCTTTCTCGCCGTGCGAATGGTCTCCTTGGACGTCTCAAAGCTCACGTCCAGGACCACCTCGCCTCGAGGTGAGATCTCGACAACAGCGGGCGCGTTCTTGGACGACGAGTCCGATGTATCTCCATCTTGGCCAGGAGCGGCGTCGTCCATCCTGGCCTGAGAGAGTTGCCGCGAGGGGGCAACATGAACATGGACCTCAGAGAGAGGGGTTGGGTGGGGTGAAGAGAGTCTCTGGAGATGATCAGACCGGCGGTCGAGGCGACTTCAGGCGGTGCTTACGGTGTTCTCTCCACACGAGGTACCTTTTCTTTGGCAGCAGGAAGATGTGTGATACCTATGTCAATGTAAAAATAAAGTGAACAGGATCCCCACGTGAATCATGGAATGCAAATGAGCCAGCACGTCGTGACTTGCGAGTCCAGGGTCTAAGGGTCTGGCTCACTGTTGTCACTGTGGATCAAACCCTGGGGCCTCGCCTTATGCTGATAAGAGATGCGATAAGCCTCGCCTGAGCCCGCCAGTGACAGCAGCAGCTGCTGCTGCAGCCGCTGCCGCTGCTGAGGGATGACGGCCTGGTGCTGTTGAGCGCGCGGTGCAGCACTGTCCGCCATCCCCTGTTCGCTGAGGTGCAGTTGCTTCTTCACCAGAACCTCAACGATCCTCAACAGCTTCAATCTCATCAATTCGCAGACAACCCGGTCCTTCTTACGTCTTGCAAAGCAGTCTCCATCTTAAGTCTCCATCCATTTTTTGAACGTCTCCAAAACTCACAGACCAGCTCCGGTTCCGCCTATCGTACGGTACGACGCTTGGCATCCAAAGGTGCTGCGTCACCAAACGCGGCCGGTGCTATAGCCGACAGCCCCTCTTCCCAGCTTTACAGCGAACCCGACGACGAACATCCGAACCACAACGACAAACGCCATGGCGTAGGAAGCACGTGGACTGAAATACATGCACCACGCCATGCATCATCACGGCGATGAAGCTCTACCAGTCTCGCTCGCCCATCTCTCACCATTGTCGCAACCATGCCAGCTCTCTCCCGCCGCCGCTTGTCGCGACATTTACTAGCCCAGTACCGAGGCTACTCGCGAACAGCCTCTGGGTTTCCCATATCCGCGGATCTATGGCATAAACTGCAGGCAGCCGCCGAGGCTGCGCAGGACTTCCTCGTCACACCCTCCGCTTCCAATGGCCTCGTCGTCTGGAAACCGGCCGCTCGGTCGTGGCCGAATCTGATCCAGCATCTCCAGACTCGAACATCGACACACCTAGGCACCGCTGCCTCGAGCTTCCATGCCGTATGGCAGAACGTGAGCGCCTCGCATCGAAGAGCGTTCCACAACTACTTTGTCACCCATCTCCCCTCCTCCTCTCTCCATCCCGACTCTCGAAGCTCGGCAGGCCCCGGCCACCAGCTTCCCCGCGATGCCTCGACCCCCCACACCCCTGGGCCAGGCTCGGCTCCGGCCGTCGCAGCTCTCAACATGCCCAACAGAGACTTAACCGTGGTCAGAATCCCATTACTACGAGCGAAACATCACTACGGTGCGGCATCAGCAAGAGGCACAAGGCCGTATAACGAAGACACGAACCAGGCAGGGACCATCGCAATGCCGGCCTTTGCGAAGCGCGCCCCTGTCAGCCTGCAGAGGAAGCCTATCCAGCAATCAAACGAGGCGACGGCTGCCGATAGCGCCTTGGGAGACCCTCAAATATTCTACTTTGGCGTCTTTGATGGCCACGGTGGCAATGAGTGCTCCGAATTTCTGAGAGATGAGCTGCATGGCTACATAGAGGAGGCATCGTCGGACTTTGGACTCCAAAGCAGCTTGCGCCGGACTCGAGAACCCAGAATGGGCCTGGGGCAGAAGGACGAGGAGGCGAACGACCCCAACGAGCCGGACATGAAGTCTGAGGATGAGGTCCGGCAGCAGATGAACGTGCCAACGCAGAGCGACGGAGGCCAGATCAAAGAGCCAGAGAAGGCAGAAGCGATGAAGGGCGTTGATCCGATCGCTGCCAAGGTCGACAGCGTGCAAAAGGCCCGCCAACTGGAGCAAGGCCTCATCGACGACTACAAGCGGACGATTGGTGGCTACTTCCGGCGTTTCCACCCACAGCACTTCAATGCCACGTCACGAAAGGGCCACAGCCATCAGCACGACCCCCTCGTCACGGTCGAGTCGGTCCTCATGTACGCCTTTCTCCGCGCCGATCTCGATTTTGTCTCGGCGCAGGCGCGCAAACCAGATCCCGACGACCCGCGCCTCGGCGACTCGCCCGTCAACGACGACGAGGTCCTCGGTAAGCCCCACGCGCCGCCGTCTGGCCACGGCATCGGCGGCACGACGCGCTTCAAAGGCGGCTCGACGGCCTCGGTGGCGCTCATCTCGACACCGTCGCCGGCCCCCTTCTGGCATCCCGGCGCCCAGTCGACGCTCCTCGTCGGCCACGTCGGCGACACGCGCATCCTCCTCTGCGACACGTCGACGGGGCTCGCCCACCCGCTGACCTCGGACCACCACCCCTCGACCCCGGCCGAGGAGCGCCGCCTCCGCCGCTACGCCCCGGCCAACTCGCTCGTCTCGGGTGACTCGTTTGGCGAGCAGCGCATCACGGGCCTCGCCAACTCGCGCGCCTTTGGCGACATGCGCTCCAAGCGCATCGGCGTCTCGGCCGAGCCCGAAATCACCCGCGTCGACCTCGGCCCCGCCCAGTACAGCTTCCTCACCCTCGTCTCGGACGGCGTCTCCGGCCACCTCAGCGACCAGGAAATCGTCGACGTCGTCAAGGAGGCCCGCACCCCCGAGCAGGGCGCCCAAAAGGTCGTCGACTACGCCACCGAGGTCTCCGCCAACGGCGACAATGCCACCTGCCTCGTTGTCCGCCTCGGCGGCTGGGAGAGGCGCTCCGAGGGCGGCCTCGGCAGCATGGGCACCAAGGAGATTCGGGACGTCCGGAGGGCCGAGGCGCTCGATCCGCGACGGGGCAAGCGGTAGATCCTGGGACTGTCGCTGCCATGGGCGCAGCGTTTCCGCCCCGAATAGCCCGGAAAGGGGGCCATGACGAAGAGGCAAGACACAGGCAGGGGGGGGGGCCTCTGGAGTTTTCAGGCGTCTTTGGGCATGACTTTGGCATTGTCTCCATATCATGATTGATTGTAATTCTCTTTTCACTTCTTCGCCCTTCACATAGCACGTAGCACGTAGTTAAAACCCTGCCATTCGTGTGTATATTCATCACATCAGCAAAACTCCACCCAGCCTCTCATGCTTTCACTTTCGCACCGGCGTGTCTAAACCCTCGTTACTTGTTACCAAAGTCCCCCATCCTAGCCCATCCGCTCAAAAGTGAACCGCCAAGTACGGCCAAAAAAATTCGCGTCTTTCTCTGACCCTTTTTAGTGGCGCCCCTGGCCGGGATACTGGCTCCAACCTCCACCGCCATAGTTAGGCGGAGGCGGCTGGCCGTAGCCCTGGGGAGGGGGAGGCTGCTGGTACGCGCCACCGTACTGCTGCTGCGGTGGGGGTCCTCCGTAGCCCTGAGGCGCACCATACTGGCCTGGAGGCGGCCCGCCGTACTGCGCCGGAGGAGGTCCGCCGTATTGTCCGGGAGGGGGGCCGCCGTACTGTCCGGGGGGAGGGCCTCCGTACTGGCCAGGTGGTGGGCCGCCGTAACCCTGCTGGGGGGGCTGACCGTAGCCCTGCTGACCGTAGCTCTGCTGAGGAGGGGGCTGATCGTAGTTAGGTCGGTCGTAGCTGGGCCGGTCGTAGCTGGGTCGGCTCTCCTGGCGCTCTGACGGCCCGCTGCCGCCGCCCCCGTAGTAGCCGGCGCTCTCGCCACCACTGGTGCCGGTGTAGATGTGAGACTGGTTCTGGTCCTGACGGTAGCCGTATTCCTGGTTGCCATGGGACACGGGGGCAGATGCCAAAGGCTTCCGGTCCTCGCCCTCCATAGCGTTGAGGTCCCGCGTCTTGATCTGGTTCCAGAGCGAGTTCTTCGTCTTGCCGTGGCCGAGACCTCCGCCGCACGTGTGAACATCCACGGCACTGCGGCTACCGCTTGTCGTCTGTTGATTGAGGACGTGATTCTTGTGATCCTTCACCGACTGCGAGTTGAGCAAGTGGGAGAGCTCGTGGCGACGAGGGTGGCCATCTGCCCACTCGCGGACCGTCTTGAACATGTTGCTCTGAATTTCGCAGCGGTCATCACGCATGACGGGGTGGTGGAACGCACGGAGGACATCGTCGACGACCTCGTCAACAGGAACGCCGGGATTCTCCCATGCGTAAAGAACGCGCCTACGCTCTGTCAGTATTCATTTCATTCTTGATGAGTGAGGTGCAACCCACGGTGTGATGTATTGCAAGATGGTCGAGGCAACCCTTCCGGCGCACGAGTTCAAGATGTTGGTAAAGTGATCCTTGGACAACATGGAGTGCGTGGGATCGCTGCAGCGGGGGTTGTCCCAGGGCTCGAACTGGGACTTGGCGCTGGCGCCGATGAGTCCTGACGAACCTTCCTTGAGGACCTTGGACACCTGTTGAATGATGGGCTGGATGAAGGGCGCGAGCAGGCCGAGAATAAAGGCGGTCAGCGTCTCGCTGATGCGCTCAAGGAGCTTCTCCAAGCCAGGAACCTTGGCAATGAACCTGTTGATCGCCTTGACAATCTTGTCGCGGAACTGGAGAATGGGGTAAATTCGACCGGCAGTCTTGACGGGATCAAAGTCGGGGCTCATGCCGGGAATTTGGTTCACATTGTCACGGGTGTTGAACGCCGACCTAGACCGCATGTTATCCTGCTCTTGTTGGGCAGACGAGGCTTGAAGATCCCTAGCTTCCTTCATGAAGCCATCGCCAATGCCAGGCAGCTGGCCGATGAGAGAGATGAAATCTCCAGACGACTTGGACGAGGAGGAGGAGAAGAGGCCCCTGTCCCTGGACCCGGATTCTTCGCCCTTGGTCAAGCTTTGCGCGTTGATCAGAGCGGCGTTCATCTCGTCAACCTCGGACTGCGTGAAGTGATCGTTGGCTTCTCCAAGCACAGAGTGCAAGAAGTCGACGGCGCCGAACGTGCCGGTGACCAAGGGGTAGACCCTCTTGCCTCGAAGATTGATCTCAGTGTCAGTCCCGCAATGGGGGAAGACGCCGTGGTAGCCAAGCTCGCGAAGAGCCAGCTCACAGTAGTTGCTGTGGGCAGGAAAATCCTCAAGGGTGTGCAGGGCCTGGCCGAGACAGCGCAGGGCCTCGCAGAGATCCTCTTCCCTGTTGGCTGAGCTTCCGGCACCATTAGTATAGAGGCGCCCGTAGTGAATGCTTCGTCCGAGACTGAATCGTAGATAGCCAGCGCTGGTTGCCCATCCTCCACGCTCATTGGCGATGTAATTCTTCATACCCGAACGACTATCTATCTCTGTCTCGACGGGATCCACAGGGCCTCGCAGGCGAGGATCGAGGGTACGAGCATCGAGACCCTCGGCATAGCCCAGAGGGTTGTCAATATGTTCCTCGGGCCTGTAGCAGCCCAGTCGTTCTTCGGTGACCTCGAATTCCTCGGTAGCGTAGCCATGCGCCAGGAAGGAGAGGACCCAGACCTGTGAAAAGAACAATGTCAGCAAGTGCGAGCTGTCAACGGCGGGCTAGTAGGACATACCAAGATGCGGATGGTGGCAGCATTGACGCCCTTGAGACTGCCGACATCGACAGCCTGAGAGTAGTCGCGGAGCCAGTTGCCAAAGTAGACGCGGGAGATGAGAAGCGAAGTCCATTTCTTGCCGTTCAGGTAGGCGATGGTTTCGAGCATGTCTTCAATGTCGCCATGGCGCCAATTGTGACCCTCGACTTGCGCGATGGAGGGGATGTTGCCAGCGCCAAAAGCAGCAGCTCGTCCTGGCAGGAGCACCAGGACAATGCAGAAGACCAGGAACCAGGAGCCCTTGCCGAATCGGAAGGAAGCCATGATGTGCCTGATACTGCAAGGACGAAAGAGACGGCGAGGGGTAGTATTCCTGTGTGCTGATGGATATCGCAAAGACGCCAAGCAGGAGGGGGATGTGTTGTGTTGTGCTGAGAGATTATGCGCTCGAGTGTCGCGTACGTTGGTATGGCGCAATGGAAATGTCAAGCTTCCCAAATTTGCGAAGATGAGATAGTGAGGGTGGAGAAGATTGCAGCGCCAGCGTGCGAGAGTGATGATAGGCTTGCGCTTTCACGTGTTGCTGACGACGCCGAGAGTCGCGATCCCGCTTGTCCAACGGGCGGCCTCTGTGGCAGTGTGTGATGGTGCGAGGTGTGGTAGCTGACGAGGATGACTTGTCAGACACCCAAGGTAGAGACCGGTAGTGACTGAGGGCGCAAGCTGGGCTGAGCTGATGGTGGGGTAGTTTGCGACTCAGGGCAAGGCTGATTGAGATGCTCAACACGAGAGGAGGGGTGTGGAATCAACAGTGCCCTTGGTCGAATATGGATACCAGATGCGCTCTGACTTGATTTTGAATTTTGCAAGAGGATATGAAGAGATGAGAAGTCAGACCAAACCGAACCAGACGAGGGCAAGGTCCGGCTGGAGGAGGGGGGGGGTCGTACCAAGCAAATGTGACGGCATCGAAAGACGCTGGATGCCGCGTTCCGCCGTTGCCCCGCGCCTGCCCCTCGTTGAGCTGCTGACGGTGGACGAGTGGAGCAGTGCCACCGAGCTCGCTTGCACTGTTGCAAGGCACGGTACGGGTAGGGCGCATGGTGGGGCTCTGTGAAGGACACCACATAGCACCCAAGTTTGGAAGTCGTCACAGGTAGGTCATGAAGCCTTCCATATCTTGATGAGCTCTGGAACTTGGATACTTTTTTTTATTGAGAGTCTATTCAGTTGAAAGCTGTTGCATAACCACTTCGTGTTGCCCTCTGTACTGGCTAAAAGGATCTGAAAGAAGTCGTCATCTCGATTCTGACCACCCGATGAGCTTAGTCTCAGAGTACAAACCCGTCACAAGACAGACACGAAGATGTCACGATCCAGACTACAGCTTCACTTTACTTAAACCTGGACCGGTAGCTCAGGGGTTAGAGCGTGCGATTGCAGATCGCAAGGCCGCTGGTTCGAATCCGGCTCGGTCCTCTATTCTTTTGCTGGTTCTGGCGGCGCACAGCCATGCATGCTCCCTTGCTTCGCTGCTGATGCAAGGCCGTCAAAAGAGGCAACACGGAGGGGCAAGTCATGCGGTCCTTCAAAACATGTTCCTTCTTTCTAATAGCGAAGGTACTGTTCGTATGAAAAGCTCCACAAACAGAGCGAAGGTTAGAAGGTGAGTAGATACCTCCGGACAAGTCTACATGAGTTACCAGCAAATAGTATAAGCCCGCGGTCCTCTTCAGGCCTCTGAACGGTGGACTGAAGATTGAAATTTCGTCGTTATCCCCGTCCGTCGTAGAAGCTGTCCCAATGTGTGAACCCCCCCTGCTATTGCCAAAATTACACACAGGGTCCCCTGCACAGGGTTGTGTCTTGTGTCGTATGTCAAGGCATGTCAGCTTCGAACCCAGCAAAAGGATCGCGCGCTCGCAACGAGCTACACAACAACGGACCACAGGACCGAGCCGGATTCGAACCAGCGACCTTGCGATCTGCAATCGCACGCTCTAACCCCTGAGCTACCGGTCCAATTGATGACTAATCCTGGGGGTGTCGGAGGTCCTACTACTCATCATGTGTGTGAGCCACAACGAGTTCGAGAGTTCAACCAAGCAGGACACATTACAGTGTGTAGCCCACCTCGTACGAAGCTGTTGAATGGCGATTATACATCGTGAATACATCAGTACCATGGTCATCATAAGCTTTGAACTTTCGGGTTGTGTAATTCATGGAATAGAGATCGTACCCGGCCTTGGACGGGTTATAACAGAACCATTACAAAGAATCGAAAATCTCCAAAATCTCGACTCTAAGCCTTGATCTTGGTGGCTTGGACACTTTGCCAAGATAGGTTCGCTGGACAGCGACGCTCATGGAAAATCCAGCCCAGATTCGTGAGCTCGCCACTCGAAGATACAGAAAAGTAACCAGGATGGTACTCACGCAATCGTAGCAGGAGCAACGAGGAGAGCCGTTGTAGTCAGGCACACAACCGCAGCTGCCTAATTCTGACCCATGCACTCAGCCCAGGCCACTTCGCCCCCCTTGTTCTCGAAGCGCTTGAGATCTCCTTGATCACACAAACCCCATGCCACAGTAATACGCCGCCTGGTTCATCCGCCGCCTTACCTCGTTCACAACGGGCATATTGTATAGGAACTGTTACTGCTCCACGACCATTCCTGGCAAGATGACTTTGTCATAGCCAGTAAGCTTTCCTGCCGTGTTGGAGTTGTGTGACACACCAAAGATTCTTGGGTAGCCGTTTCCTGCGCGTCCGAGACCAACAGTGGACGTTTTACTGTGGTCACCTATATGTTGCTTTGAAGCTGGGAGATCGTGGTTCAAGCCTATCATTGTAGATATCACGTGTAACACCAGCTTGGTTAATGTTCAGTTGAGAGGACCTGTCGTCTCGGTAGCACTTCTCACAAGACTTCCCCACAAAGTCCCCCTCGCACAGCTGCCGTGCAACATTATCCAGGGATTTTATCTTATCGCCGCTGCGCCAATCTTGCTCTGCGGCCCTGAGGTTCCCAGATTTGCTCGGAATGGAGGTATAGAACTACTTCTTGTCGACATGCTGAGTTTGAGTTTGCGAGGTGAAAGGAAATACAGGCTGGGTTTCTCATTCTTTGTCGTCAGACAGACGCGGTCTTTTGGGAGTGGATTGACTGTTTTGTTAACTGGCACTTTGCCCCGATGAACCATTCTGACTCCTCCCTCGAGTAAGGTCTGAGGTAGGTGCGCCAGGCAGCCCAAGTCCAGAACCAGCTAGCGCACCTCAGTACCGGAGGCCGCTGACGTTGCACTGGATCCGACCCCGTAGGCACCCAATGCACTCGGCGACTTGGATGCTGGCGCCGATCCCCAACATCCACCGAGTCGAGGTCTCTCTCACCACTGGCCAATGAGTACAGTTGGGCAGCACCGGCTCCGTCGGTAATTGCAGTGTCCCTGTTGCTGTGAAGAACAAATCAGACCACGATTCTGAAATCCCGTCTCGTCCGGGCGCCGTCTGTGAATTCAGTGTGTGTATGTAGATCTACATTGCCCGAGAGTCCGAACCACTGGGGTGCGCATGATCGCTTGATTTCTCATCCAGACGGATGGACACACTGTGCCTACGTGTCACAGACAGCCTTTTAGCTTTTCCTTTCCCGGGCGCATCGACTAATACCGTATGAAATGAGAAGAATGGAGTGGGTGCTACATGGTACATCGTCTTGTTTTGGCCCCGGATGCATGCCACACCACAGCCGGGCATGGCATGACTGCCAGGCAAGGTCGAATCCCGATCGACAGCCGGTTTTCGAGTGCAAAGAAGGCCCAGCGGAGGCCGTTGCCTGCTGGAGGTACCCCTGGAGGGAACCAGATCGCACCACATGCACAGTGTATCGGCTGTCATGGCTCCCGCGCGTTCCAAAGTAACACCACTCTCGGGTCCACATTAATTTGCACCGCGTCCCGTGGCGCGGCCCTGCTAAATCTGATTCTGATCCGTAGCTCATCTGCGATTCCCCTAAATACCGAGGGGCAAATCTGTTTTTCTTCCTCCCGTGCAGCCGACCTCTCTCGATCGACCTGTTTCGCCCTTCTCACGTCGTCGTCTCTCTGGATCTCGCATCACACACCGGCGGGCCACACTCCTTTTTTGGAACAACGACTTTCGAATCATCCCTCCCGACAGGCCCGCTTACGATATCTCCGAGCCATCCGCCGCCCGGCCCAGCCCATCAAGATGCCTGCTCGAATCCTTCCCACCTTCACCCGCGCCGAGGTCGAAGCGCACAACACAGAGGGATCCTGCTATGTTACCATCGGCGACAAGGTCTACGACATCACCGACTTCGTTCAGGACCACCCTGGCGGACCCGAGTTTGTGCTCGAATACGCAGGAAAGGATGTCGAGGAAATCCTCAAGGACGAGGTCTCCCACACCCACTCTGACTCGGCCTACGAGATTCTTGACGAAAGCCTCGTCGGTTTCGTCGTGAACGAGAAGTCCGTCAACGGTTCAGCCACCAAGACGAATGGCGTCGCAACCGGGTCCGAGGCGAGGGACAGCAATGGCGAATGGGTTCACCCTCGGACTGGCATGTCGCGCGAGGAGGACTTGAGCAAGGACACCGACTACAACTCGGACTTCAAGACGCACAAGTTCCTCGACCTCAGCCGGCCACTGTTTCCCCAGATCTGGTTCGGCGGATTCGACAAGGACTTCTACCTCGACCAGGTCCACCGCCCGAGACACTACAAGGGCGGTGCCTCTGCACCCCTATTTGGAAACTTCCTCGAGCCTCTTTCGAAGACGCCGTGGTGGGTGATCCCGACCATCTGGCTGCCTCCCGTCATTTACGGCACCATCCTGTCGCGAGAAGGCCTCAGCAGCCCTCTCGACGTCGCCATGCATTTTATTGGAGGCTTCTTCCTCTGGAGTCTGCTGGAATACGTCCTCCACCGGTTCCTCTTCCACCTCGATGAGTATGTCTCCTCCCCCCCTTGTGTTCGCGCTCTGGGACTATCACTGACAGGATTGAAGTTACCTCCCCAACAACCGCGTCGGCATCACCGCACACTTCCTGCTTCACGGCATCCACCACTACCTGCCCATGGACAAGTACCGCCTGGTCATGCCGCCGACCCTGTTCGTCGTTCTTGCGACGCCATTCTGGAAGCTGGCCCGCATTGTCTTTGCCTACAACTGGTACGCCGGCGCCGCCGTGTACTGCGGAGGCATCTTTGGCTACATCTGCTACGACCTCACGCACTACTTCCTCCATCACCAGAATCTCCCGCTCTGGTACAAGGATTTGAAGAAGTACCACCTCCAGCACCACTTCCTCGACTACGAGCTCGGCTTTGGCGTCACGAGCAAGTTCTGGGACCGCGTCTTCGGAACCGAGCTGGTTCCTGTTGTCAAGACTGCCTGAGCGGGGAGACGAGCTTTTGCAGAGTGAGGATTGAGGACAGTGAGAAGCGAGGACAGTTGTCAGGTTTTAACGCAAGTCATGGCCAGCGGGTGTAATACGAATGACGGGGCTGGCCTTTTTCAGGGGACCGGTTGTCTGAAGGAGTTCAGGGGTGAGATGCTTTAACGGGACTACGAGGCAATGCCTGGCTTGAACATCGGAACGGGACATGAGCCACTGCATACTTGCAGACACATATTAGTGTTTAATATTGATACCACCACTCACTTGAGCCTGCGCGATCAGTGAGGGCCCAATTCATGGTGTGATTCTGCCTTTTGTTCCGGCGCTTTGAAGGTGGTGACCTGCACAGTCCGCACACAATCACAGTACTGTACACAACAGCACTAGGCAGCAGCCACGTGACTGTGCCGTCAGCAAGATGACCGCACCCAGCGATTGATTTCGCCCGTTTCCTCACTTTGTTCCCTGCCCCTCAGTTTTTTGCCCAGCCCAACGGTGGAATCGACATCCACGACAGCACGCAGGCCATTCGCTCACGAGACTTCCACGCCTGCCGCATCGCTACGCTCAGAAACGGAGGTGCACAGCGGCTGACGAAAGACGAAGCACTAATCCTCTGGTGTAGACCACACAAAGACCCGCCAAGATGTCTAACCTAGATGTGGAGGCCCTCCTGGACGCGACCGCCAACGGAGCGACAGACCCGAAGCCGACAACAGACGCCGACGACCAGTCGAACCGAGACCGCTCCGAGAGAAAGGAGCGGGACCGCGAGCGCGAGCGCGACCACGACCGCCGACGCCGCGAGCGCCGCGATAGCGCATCGCGCAGCCACCGAGGCACCCCCGACGATCACAAGGCAGACACGCCGCGGAGCGACGCAGGAAGCCACAAGAGTAGGCGACGAAGCAGAAGCCGCGATGATGACCGCCGTCACTCACGCCGTCACAGAGATGGCGACTACTACCGCGGCAGCGGCGGCGGGCGCGGCGCCCGTTCGCGCTCCCGTTCGCGCTCGCCGCACAGGTCGCGCCGCGGCCGTGACGACCGCGACTACCGGGACCGTCGCGAACGGGACCGCGACCGCTCCGACCGCTATTCTGGAGATCATCGTCGTGGCCGCGACGACGACAGGCATACGCCGTCCAAGCGCGATGGCACGCCGCCGCTTACCGAAGATGAGCGCGATCGGAGGACCGTTTTCGTCCAGCAGCTGGCCGCCCGCCTGCGCACTCGTGAGCTGAAGGAGTTTTTCGAAAAGGTCGGCCCCGTCAACGAAGCCCAGATTGTGAAGGACCGCATCAGCCAGAGATCCAAGGGGTGAGACTCTGCCGAAGCCCATGACCATGACGAGACTTGGCTAACGGGGGACAGAGTTGGTTATGTTGAATTCAAATCCGAAGACACTGTCACGCAGGCGCTCCAGCTCACCGGACAGAAGCTGCTAGGTATCCCTATCATCGTTCAGCTTACCGAAGCCGAGAAGAACCGTCAGGTTCGCACCACGGAAGCAGCCGGTACACAGTCGAACTCGATCCCCTTCCACCGCCTCTACGTCGGGAACATTCACTTCAACGTTACGGAGCAGGACTTGCAGGCCGTTTTCGAGCCCTTCGGCGAGCTCGAGTTTGTCCAGCTGCAGAAGGATGACACTGGCCGCAGCCGCGGCTATGGCTTTGTGCAGTGAGTACAGCTCCTCTTTGGCGCCGGGAATATGAATGCTAACCCACGGTCCAGGTACCGGGATGCAGGCCAGGCTAGGGAGGCCCTCGAGAAGATGAATGGGTTCGACCTTGCCGGTCGTCCCATCCGTGTCGGTCTCGGAAACGATAAGTTCACCCCAGAGAGCACTGCCAACTTGTTGCAGAGATTTTCAGGCCGCGAACAGCCCTTCCAGGGCTCTGCCTTTTCCGGCGCCGGTGGCCGTGGCCCTCAGAACTCGACGTTCGACCGCGCGGGCGGCCGCGACAGCGAAAAGTCGGGCGGCGCCAGTGCCCTCGACGACACGGATGTCGCCGGTGTCAACTTTAACAACTACAGTCGTGATGCCCTCATGAGGAAGCTTGCCAGGACTGACGACGCGAGCAACGCCGTAGATGAGCGCCAGACGCTGAAGCCCAAGACGGAGACTAAGCCTCTCCCGGTCAACGTGAACATGGCCAGTCGTTGCGTCGTGCTGCACAACATGTTTGATCCCGAAGAGTACGTTGAACCCTGCCTGCGTCGTCCGCTTGTGTGGCACCCACTGACAGCATCGCAGGGAAGAGGGTGAGGACTGGGCCAAGGAGCTCGAAGATGACGTGCGCCAGGAGGCCGAGAGCAAGTACGGCCGCGTCGTTCACATCTCGGTAGACCCCAACTCCAAGGGCGACATTTATCTCAAGTTCGACAAGGTGCAGGGTGGAGAGAATGCCATCAAGGGATTGAACGGCCGTTACTTCGGCGGCAGGATGATCGACGCGTCACCTGTTGTAGATGCGGTCTACAGCAGTTTGTTCTCTCGCACCAGAGCGATCTAAAAGCTAATGTTCGCCACTTCAAAATGCGGCTTTAGGACTCATCAGGTAGGCAGTTCGAAACAGAGACGGTCCGCGTTGGTTTTCTGACTTGCAAGTTAGTGTTCTAGTGCTCTTCCCTGGTCTATCTCTCGATGACGACGACCACTTTCGAACGCCCAAGGCGATAAACAGCCGCCTTTCGGAACCGGACGGTGGGGAGGAAAATTGTTTTTGTGTTCTATCTTGTGGCCCGTGGTATCGGATGTTCTGGTATCAGCCTTTGATCGCGCCCCGTCCCGACTGGCTCCCGCTACCTTACTATTTAACAGGACTCTTACATCGACTCGACTCGACGTACAGGATCTCTTCCAGCCCAGCTCAGATGCGCATGTTGCGGTTGTTCTGTGCGCGGCCGCTCTAGGTTTCCGGGCTCGTAAATCGAAGCGGTCTCTTGGCTGATTGTGTGTAGCTTAGGTCTTAAAACACTCCGACGCTGCTTTACGGCGTTTGTGGTAATGTCTTTTTCTTGCTCAATGAAGGAAACAAAAATTCTGTCCGCTTTTACATCTATCTACCTAGGTTCTTCCCGCTTTTTTTGTCTTCGTATTTGTGATGGGCGATTTGATCTAGGGCTGATCATTCTTCCTACAAGCCGCGTCCCATCTCGGCCTCGCTCTTTGCGCAGGACCCTGACGAACGACCGAGCTACGTTACATGGAAGTGCAATGACCCGACCCGATGATCCTTGACGCTTGTCACAAAGGGCACCCGATGGCACCGCACTCGGAACAGCTGCAAATTCGGATGAGAGGTATCAAGGGGGCGGTCACCAGGCCCGTAGGCCAGAGCCTGGGCTTTGGATCCAATAGCTTGGGCCGAACCTCGACGAGGCTATACCTGCCCTCTCAGTCCCGACTCTTGTGCTTTGGTATGCAGCGAAGTGGACCGCCAAGCTCTGCCCATTCTTGTGATTAGATACGCATCCCTGTGTACAAGGGCCTGGGTGTTCTCTAGCCGTCGCTGCTTGCATCCTAGGAGACGCTCCGAGTTGTGAGCACCTCGACCCTACTGGGTGTACTATCCGCCCAATACGTCGTGTTCGTGCTGCCTCTAGACTGCATGTATATTCTCTCTTACTGGATCAGCACACTGCAGCTCTCGCTCGATTAGGCCCTGCCTCTGATTTACCTCCTAAAGAGACACATGCACGTGAACCCTGTCGGCGGGGAGAGCATTTGCGGGAGCACACCAGACCCTTGCATCGCAACTTAACCAACCCCGGTGAACGGCAAGATATGGCGCGGCAGAGGAGGAAAAAAACATCTTCTTAGGCACATGGTGCCAAGCTCACGGCCCGACGCCATGGCTGCAGCAGCAACCCTGGCCTAGCCTCGAGGTCGGCGTTCGCACCGCACCTAGCTACGGCCAGTCGTCTTCTGCTGTTCATCACCGGCCGAGAGCCACCTACAGCGAGGGAGAGAGAAAGGGAGGTGATCGAGCTCATGTTACCTCTTCTATCCCCCCTTTCGCAAATTTACGACTGTGGACGGAGCCGGGGATTCGACGTGTGCAGTGCACTCCACTCCACCCCCACGAACAGCCGACGCCTCAACCGCTCGTCCGACACCGAACTGCGTCCGAGGCGGGTGTTCTTGCGGTCCCTTGGACTGCACGGCCAGGCGGCTTTGCTCCGACCGACAAGTGTCGGGTAAAGAACCTCCCTCTCCCATGCAAATCCTGCCACGCGATCTCGGGCTAGAACCTAAGCTTAACAGGCTCGTCAGGGGTGGTCCCTTACATGGGTCGGGCTATTAAGTGGGATCTAATCAGATGAGATCAATCAGATAAAAAAGCTCACGAAAGTCTCTCGCGATCTCCATCCCAAACTGCTGATTTGGACACTAGTGCGAATCCTACGGCCTGGGTAGTAGTGGCACCAGCGAAAACGATGGATACTACTTGCACCTTGGCAGCCCATCTCGGTCCGCCTTTGCCCGCCGACAACGGATGATCTCTGCTTGACGCTCACATCCTGTGAGAGGCGCCCGAGGCACTGGGTGGGAAGAGAAAAAAAAATGTGCTGGCCAAGTCCCGAGGTGGAGGTGGTGACCGAGGAGGTACAAGTAGGAGGATGATCCTCAGTGTTCCTTCCCTCAAGCACGAGTCGTGGGAACCAGCACGTTTGACTACCCTGTCACCCCTACATACCAGCCATGGCTATCTTGGATAACCTCAAGAACGCAGTGGGTCGCAAGACGGGAGGCGACGCCGAAGCTGCCGCCCCAGCGGCCGACCTCGAGATCCAAGCCGCGCCGGCCACCGCGGGCGCTGACGGCGGTGCCATCTACGATGACGAGAAGAACGCCATCCCCGACGAGCTGGTGCCCAGCAAGGATGCGCAGCTCGGTGTTCAGAAGATCCAGGCTGTGACGCTGACCTGGACCAAGGGCTACTTGGCAGCATGTCTGATCCTGTAAGTCGACATGGTCCACCCAGCAGAGTCTACGCCCTTGATGACTCGTCCCTGACATATCGTAGCATTTGGCTCCTCTTCCTGACCAACGGGTTCCGACTTTCGATCCTGTGGGGCCTGACGCCATACGTCACGAGTGACTTCCAGTCGCACTCGCTTCTGACGGTCATTGGCATCGTCTCGAGCGCCATCACGGCTGCCGTGTACATCCCCATGGCCAAGATGCTCGACGTCTGGGGTCGTGCCGAAGGTTTCCTGCTCATGATCGGCTTTGCGACCCTCGGCCTCGTCCTCATGGCCGTCTCGGAGAACCTAGCCACTTTCTGCGCCGCGCAGGTCTTTTACTCCGTCGGCTTCGGTGGTGCCATCTACACTGTATGCGTGCTTGCCGCCGACGCGACGAACCTGCGCAACCGTGGCCTGGCCTTCGCCTTCACATCTTCGCCCTACATGATCACGGCGTTCGCCGGAAGCAAGGCCGCCGAGGGTTTCAACGGGTTCAACTGGCGATGGGGATTCGGATGCATGGCCATCATCGTGCCCATCGTCACGTTCCCGCTGTTCGGCGTGCTCAAGCTGAACCTCCGCAAGGCCGAGAAGCAGGGCCTCATCAACACAAGGGAGAAGAGCGGCCGGACCATTCCCCAGACGATCGTATACGGTCTCAAAGAATTTGATGGTGAGTTCGTGCCTGATATCCGTCAGCCGGTCTGGGGGAGGGGGTGTTCAAAGCACTGGTGTCTCTGTTTCAGTAACTGATCTGGTGCACAGCTTTCGGCGTCTTCCTGTTCGCCGGCGGCCTGACCGTGTTCCTCCTGCCGTTCACGTTGGCACGGTCGGCGCCGAACGGCTGGTCGACGGACTACATCATCGCCATGATTGTCGTGGGCTTCGTCACGCTCGTGGGCTTTGCGCTGTACCAGGTGTACCTCGCGCCGGTGCCGTTCCTCAAGCACAAGTTCCTCACGGACCGCACGGTCCTGGGAGCGTGCCTCATCGATTTCACGTACCAAATGTCGTACTCGTCGTGGAACAGCTACTTCACGTCGTTCCTGCAGGTGGTCAACAATGTGACGGTGGCCGAGGCCGGCTACGTCAACAGCACGTTCCAGGTGGTCTCGGGAGTGCTGCTGTTCATCGTGGGGTACCTGATCCGGCGCACGGGGCGGTTCCGCTGGCTCTTCTTTGTGGCGGTGCCGTTCTACGTCCTGGGCCTGGGCCTCATGATCCATTTCCGCAGGCCGAACGGCGAGATTGGGTACATTGTCATGTGCCAGATCTTCACGTCGATCGGCGGCGCCATCTTCATCCTCGGCATGCAGATCGCCGTGCTGGCGGCGGTGGACCACCAGCACGTGGCGGCGGCGCTGGCCATGCTCTTTGTGAGCGGCGGCATGGGCGGTGCCGTCGGCAGCACCATCTCGGGAGCCATCTGGACGAACACGTTCCTGCCGGCGCTGCGTCGTTACCTGCCCGAGGGCGTGGACGCGCTGGTCGTGTACGGCGACATTGTCGCGCAGCTGTCGTACCCCGTGGGCAGCCCCGAGAGGCTCGCGATCCAGCAGGCGTACGGCTATGCGCAGACGAGGATGCTGGCGGCGGGGACGGGCATCGCGGGTGTGCTGATCGTATGGATCTGCATGCTGAAGGACCTGAACGTGGGCGAGATGAAGCAGACCAAGGGTGTTGTGTTCTAGGTGGTCTGGTAGCAGTGCCAGGGGGAGAGTTGGTGGTGATAAGCCTGGGCAGGTGAGGCGGGGTCGATATCCCGTATCCCCAGCCACCACAGCCACGTCAGTGAGGGGTACATGGAAGGAGGTTCGACAGGATGGTAGGTAATGAACTTGGAGGTTTGATGCCACGAATTGAGCATGAGGATTCTAGGTGAATAAAGGATGAGCTATAATACCACTGACGTGTCCCTGTGATAACGGAATAGACAGGCGAGACGATATAAGCGAGAAAGGTGGCCGCCACTTGATCCGGCTCTCGCGTGGCTTGTGGTCAATGAACCCAGGGTTCGAGGCGCATATGCTACGAATGCTGGACCCAGCGCTTGATTCGTTGCAATATCGACAAGCGAACAATTTGATCGTTTTCCGCCATGTGAGGAGACAGCAATGCACAATCAGCATCCTGGGAGCCGTTGCAGAGGATGTATGATGGCCAAGGCTGGAAGACGCGATATACCGCTGCGGGAGCACGAGACACAAACGTATCGCGACTTCTTTTTGACAAGATCCGTTCTGACCGCCAGGCACTAGACTCCCATCTGTCCCTCTCCACCCCGCCCCCTCTGCGCGACCCTCCACGTTGAATGGCCCTGATGCGCCGAGTGTGCCGATGACGCTGCCTGGTAGGCTGCAGGGTAGCGCCGAAGCGCCAACAGGGCTGGGGGTTGGGGGCTGAAAGCTTGACAGCATCAGCGTTACCCATCATTCAGCTCCAAGTGCTCCGTCACCATCCATCTCTGTTCCTGTCCTTGGACTTTTGACTGTGTTCAATACCTAGGTGGGGACAGCATAGGGGAGAGTAAGCACAATGTCAGATTGTGGTGCCTCATTCGTGCGAAGCCGAGCCTCACACCACGGCCTCTGTACGTTGCGTGGTCATCCTATGTTTTGGGACGGCCGAGCCGCAGCCGGACCAAAGCTTGCATCCTTAGAAACATGGCTAGATGGAGATGGGTGACGAGGCTGTATCGAATGAGGCAACACGACAGGCTCGGTTGCCGTGGGTTAGGCCCTTTGTTGACAGAGCTAGCGAGTGTCCTCTGGGTCCCCCTACCTGAGCTGAGCTGAGGTAAAGGTAAAGCTCGGAGGAGGGGGGCTATGATGACGACCTGGGAGCCCGCCCCACGTCGGTGCCTGGCTCAGTGCCCAAGAGGCCCCAGGTGCTCCCAGCAACAGCAGCTGGGGTAAGAGCAGTTGCAGCGGGCTCAGCGCTGAACTGGGAGCTTGGGCACTATAATCCACCGTCACGGCCCCAGTACCTAGACAGTACTCCGCACGAGCATCATTCGTCTGGCGGGTAAACATCCGACCCAAGCACAAAGCTGCATGATTGATTGCTCTCGTCTATGCCCACCCAATGTTGCAAGCACAACACAGCAGTGGCACACTCTTGTACTCCGTCCGTACTGCATACTGCGTACGCCGTACCGCGAACCACTCAGAGCTGCTTACCTACTGTCTTACCTGTTTGCCTGCTTGCTGCATCTCGGCCTCTGCATCTACCTATCTATCTATCTGCCTCTGCTCTGCCTCTGCTCTGCCTCTGCTCTGCTCTGCCTCGCCATCGGCTCTGCCCCCCCTCCCACACACCCTCTGAGAGCCTCTTCTTCTTACTGGACATAACTGCATTGCCACCTACAGTGTTTACGCTTTCATCGAAACCGTCTAGCTGCCCTCCACCGGCCTTGGCCCTGCCTTTGCTCGCAATTTGGAACCTCGACCTGCCTCACACGACGAACGAAAACCCGCCTCCGAGTCGCACACGACAACGCCGCAGAGTCCCCTCTCCTCCTCTTGGTGCCGTCTCGAGCATGTAATACCTTCTGCCAAGCTCAGCTTGCCCACCACGCCCACGACACCCACCCACAGCCTTGGCCGAACCGCGAACCCCATCCACCGTCATCGGGACGCCCTCATTTCTACGAACCACCCCACGCCCGAGCTCCTCGATATCTCCAACCCTCCCCCCCCCGCGCCCTACGCATGAGAGCACCTCCGACGGCAGCTCTGCCTGCTCAGCAGTAACCAAATCCACGCCGCCAACACCACCGGGCCGTGCCGCTCGTCCTAGCCAGACTGAACGTCTGAAACCCACCGACAGACAACGTCTTGAGGCAATCGCCCGCGCGCCCTGGACCCTGGCGATCACGGCACCATGGCCGCCTTCGTGAGGGTCTCTGGCCCGCCGAATAGCAACTTCCTCGTCGGCTACCCGGGCATATCAGCAACATTAGTGCGTCCTCTGTCTCTCTGTCTCTCTCTCTCTTTCTTCCCTCTCCCCTCTCTCTCTCTGGATGTGTCCCCGTCTGCCTCTCTGTGTATGTGTTGCCCATGCGCCGCCGTCGGGGCAAGCAACGAGACGACGGAACCTCTCGCGCTGTACACAATACCTTTGCTGACCGCATGCGCCTGCCCCCTCTCAGCCCCGAATCGAAGGCAAGGTCGAGATCCGCCCCTCCCAGGGCTTCTCCCTGCCCGTAGCCGTCTCCCTCGTGCGCATCTGCCTGCAGCGCCGCGAAACCATCCACCCCGCCGCCGAGAATGTCGCCAAGCGCCACCTGGGCACGCCGCGCCGCGAGACCACCGACGTCGTCGGCAAAGAGCTCCTGCTCTTCCGCTGCCAGACCGGTCGCGAGGCCGAGAGCGTCATCGCCATGGACCTGCCCTTCGTCCTCTTCATCCCCTTCGGCCGCGGCGGTGAGGAGACAAACCGCCGCATCCCCCCCGCCTCGCTCCAGCTGCCGAGCCGCACCGCCGAGACGTTCTACGAGCTGGTCGTCACCGTCCAGCAGGGCCACAGCGTCCAGAACAAGTACGCCTTCCCCATGCCGCTGCAGCGCTACGACACCCTGTCGACCTTTGGCATGTACAACAAGCCCGAGACGAGGACCAACACGTCCGACAGCGTCGTCACCCTCGGCATCTCCGTGCCCAAGTGGAGCTATGGGCCCCTCGACCCCATCACCGTGTACATCAAGCTCGTGCCGAACCCGGACTGGATGAAGAAGGCCATGAAGGTCACCATACAAAAGATCACCGTCTCCATCGACGAGGAGATCACCTACAACCCCGAGGGCGACGAGCCCCAGAAAAAGGTCAACAAGATTGCGAAGCACGTGCAGTCCGTGGCCGCGAAGCTGCCCGAGGCCGGCTACGCCACCAACCTCGGGCTCGTGTTTCCCTCCAAGGACCTGCGCGACCCGGACGGCATCGTGAGGCGCGGCAAGCCAGCGTTCCCCATGTACGAGGTCATGTCGTTCACGACAACATCGACCCTCTACAAAATTGAGTTTTATTTGACCGTCAAGGTAGGTCCCGCCCCCTTCACCTGTCCTGCATATATGGGACGTGCTACGTGGCCTGGCCAACGGACGGACGGACGGACGGACTGACTAACTGGCTCCAGGCGCAGCTGAGCTCCGCGCGCGACGTCACGGCCCGGGTGCCGCTCGTCATCTGCCCCATGGACCAGCAGGGCTGCAAGGAGGAGATGGACGCCATCGAGCAGGCCGCCAAGGACGCGTCGCACGTCGACCCGAACAACCCCATGCTCCCGGCGAGGAGCATCATATTGGCCAACGACAGGGAGGCCCTCCACACGCTGGGGTTGTGTATCGTGGGGGGCCAGAAAAAGCCGCTCATCGAGTGAGCGAGGCTATCGTCAGCGGGGTACGAGAATAATGAAACCAACAAAAACTCATTCTCCTGCCGTCGGTCGCGGAGAAGACCCGGCGCATGGGCGGCCGTTCCATCGGCATACACGAACGGCACTCTTCCGACTGTCCAGGCCCCGCCCTCACTCGCCGTCTGCCGTGGAGGCTGGAGAGCGTCCGCAGGGCCTATCTACAGCAAGCAGCCTCTTCCTACGCCGAGGGCAGTATTGGCACGACACTGTGACCCTGCACCATCAAGTGAGCTTTCGCACTTGCGAACAGACGGTCACTGCTGTTATGTGGAGGAAGCCACGTCCCGACGGCCAGAAGCTTCTACGCGCCCGGCAAAGAATACGCGCCCGGCAAAGAATACGCCGGGATGCAGAGCAGCGCACCGGCGGGGGATGGGGAGAAAATCGGTGCCATCTGTGGCTAGGAGACGGGCAGCGCGGACGCATCATGGCAGGCTCTCTGGCGGGGAGCCCAGGCGGCGACCGGAGGGCGGCCGGACGTACATATGATCATGACGTGAAACGAGCTTTGACGATGATGCAGGGCGGCCGGTAGGATAGGCGAGCGGCGGCCAACCTGCCGGCTGGCTGAGTGCAGCGACGGATGTACGGTGCAGCAGCATGATGAGCCGGCTTTGCGGGTGCGGTAGAGGAGATAGACGGACGTTTCGGGGCGTCTGGTGCAAAGCGAAACAATGAATTATTCCTGATTACAGACGGATTTCTCCTGTGAGGGTAGCCCTGTAGGCTGAGGTTGTCAAGTGCAACATTGGATGACATGAGTGCTTTGCCGTGGAGCGGCAGGCCTACTCTTCGGCTGGTGATGTGTCTGTATCAGAACCGCGATCGGTTGCCATGTCCTTGCGGGGAGATTCGAACCAGTTAATATTTCGTCGCGACGGTATGTGCAGCACTATGCTGAGCCCGCACACTTCCAACGCGACGCATCAAAATCATGGACAAAAATAGGGGACTACGAGACAATCCGAGGACAAAACACAAGGACGGTGGGCATCCAAAAGGAAATCTGAAGAGGACGAGATTCGAACTCGCGCGGTTTCCCACTGGTGGAATATCGAGATATACCTAAAACCAGCGCCTTAACCACTCGGCCACCTCTCCGATTGGGGTTCGGTGAGAAGAGTGTCCGAAGGTGGGGCTCATGTACACTCAGTGTGGCCTCATTGCACTATGGGATTGCTACACGGGGTGTTTACTGTACTATCATACGTGTGACACGAGAAAGTGTGGTGCCAAAGCCTGCGGTATCCTTTCATTTGGATTCAATGCATGCCGTCCTGCCAGGTTGCGTCGGACATGGGCGATCGTGTTCTGCTGTGCGTGTCAGGAGCGCTTTGCTGGACTTGACGTCGCACGCATCGTCTACGAAAGGTTTATTCGGTAGCTATCATGGCATGGGGCCTCGCTTGCGCCGTCTATGGTTCAGTCCATCCTGTCCTGGCAACAATGCCACATCGAGCCACGAGCCGTGATGCGCACAGCTTGGGGGGTTCGTGGCGGGGCAGGCTTTTCATGCGGCGAGGCCAGGTCCCTTCGTCTCAACCCGAGGCCACTTGTTCGTCCTGTTATGCACTCTCTACGCATGAGTCTCTTTTCAGGGTCTTTTAAGAGGAGGGAGCCGTCATACTCTGCAAGCGGGCGTCGCCTGAATCTGTGGGTGATGATCTGACTGCGCATCAATCAGCGCTCTTCGAGTGATTCAGACGTACTTGGTGTAGACGTGAAACCATGGGCCCCTAGGGCTTCCCTGGATTAAACTTCTTGCCATCATATTTTGGGAATCTGTCAGTGTGGGAAACACTTCTGGCTTAGGTGCTCGAGTCTCCATGTACACATGAATGGTGAGCTTCGGGATCTGGGGTGGGCAGCGTCGGGCGTGACTCAACAAAGCATTCATTTTTTCGGTTTTCACCAAACTCTCCTGTGATTTAGGAGAACTGAACTTGGGAAGCTGCAGCTAGGGACACGCAGGTAGATTGTTGACTGTCACATCGGATGAGTGGGATTTCGACCGGTGCTGACAATAAACGGCTAGAGACGTCTGCCTCTCTCTCTCTCTCCCTCCCTCCAAAAAAGGCAGGGAAGAGTAAGACGTTCAAGACAGATCAATGGCAACTGAAGATCATGATTCATTTGACCACTCTTCACGAGATTTCACAGAGGACGTTTGGTCCCGTGATGACAGCTCGTACTTCAGATCTCGAGAGAAACATTGTCATCTTCGCCGCACACCAGGGCGAGGGTCATCAGGAGGAACAGTCATCGGGAGGAACAGTCATCGGGAGGAACGGCAGAAAAGAGACACAAGGCCAATTGACACCTACAGCACCGCCCATCCAGTCAACCAGGACTCATCCCACCATCCCATGGTGAAGCTGTCGACGCAGGTCAGTGCGGAGCGCGGGGTTCGTTGGAGACTGGATTGGGGTAGCTTCCGCCCGGGCACTTTTCCCGATTTTTGTCTCGCCCATTCCCGCCTTGCATCGACGACCACCAAAAGACGAAACCGCCCACCGTGTCATCCCTCTCTACGAACACGCCAACCGGAAACCGAAGGTCCCCCCCCTCTCTCTCCGACCATGCCCCTCGACGACGACGACAACCCGTTCCTCACGCCGTCGCCGGCGCCGGCGCCGCTCGCAGGCAAGGGCATCGCCAGCGCCAACAATGGCGACCCCGACGCCCACGACAACGAAGACGACCCGGCCGACGCCCCCTTCGACATGGCCCTCTTCGCCTCCATGTTCTCCAAAAAGGGCGTGTCCTCGCAGACGATCCGCAAGGGGCAGAAGGACTTTGAGGCGCACGGCACGCGCGCCCAGGACGCCGCCCTCGAGACGTCGCGCCGTGTCATCGAGGACGTCCTCGCCTACACGCGCCTGCACACGGGCGACTGGAACCGCGGCTGGCTCTTTGCCGACTACTGGCCCGCCGCCCTCGCCGAGCTCGCCACGGCGCGGCCCGAGTTCGTCGCCGCCCTCGACCCGGCGCTGCACGCCGCCGACAGGGTCGTCGTGCTGGAGGAGCTCAAGGGCCCCCAGAACAGGTCCGTCGGGCGCACCGTGCGCGGCATGAAGCCGCCGAGCCCGGCCGTCGGCAAGGTCTGGCTGCTGCCCGAGGAGGCGCTGTTCATGCTCGAGCGCGGGTCCTTGGACCTGTGGTGGCCCGACAGGACGCTGCAGGAGCTGATGCCGGGGCTCGCGATCAAGAGGAGCAGGGGCGCGATGACGGGCGGCAAGACGACTGCACAGCGGGGCGACGACAACCACAGCGGCGCGCCGGCTGACGGAGAGCCAGAGGCGGATAGAGAAGAAGAGGAGGAGGACGACGACGAGTTCGCCGATGGCGTTCCCCTCAGCCTGCAAGCAGCCTATGCGCTTCTCATCGGCGTCGAGGGCGAGCGCGGAAAGATCACGTTGCCGAAATACCAGGTCTACGCACACCTCAAGAGAGGCGGTTACCACGTCCAGCGGGCGCCCGCGGGCGAGACGGCCACCCAGGCTGCACCCTCACCGGCATCAACCCAACCAAAGTCTGTCTGGCAATGGCTCTTCTCCCTCTTGAGCCGACCGGAGCGTGGCCGCCAGGCGCCTCCCTTCGGCCCCCTCGTCCGGCCCGGTCTCTACCGTAAATACGCCCCGATATACAAACAGCTCGAACTCATCCCTCGCTTCGACCCCCGCGAGAAGGCGGCTGATACAGCCGCGCCCGAGGATCCTTTCAAGGTCTTCTTCCATGTCTGGCGCCCGTCCAAGCACCCAATCTTCTCCAAAAGCGATCCGCCACCGCCCGACCTGCGCATCGCCGTCGTCGACGCCAGGGACACGTTCGTTCCGGAGCTGGAGCAGCTCGAAGCTCTCTTCGACTCGACGCCCTATGACCCCGCAGACGCGTCGCTCTCGGCGCCGGGGCGCTTCTACCCGCGCCTCAAACACGGCCATCGCAACGTGCTCATCTCCGTCGTCGACCGCGGCCTCGTCAATTTTATGCGATTCGGCCAGGCCGCCTTCGCCGACGAGAAGCTGTACGAGCGCTTCGACCTGCCGAACCGAGGCCGAGGTGGGAAGAGGGGCGGAGGCCGCGGCGGAAGAGGAGGTAGGGGCCGTGGTGGACGTGGTCGGAGATGAGGCGAGAGAGCATCCGCACGAGCTGAGGTTGCAGCCAGGCCGAGCTGCAGCAGTTTGCCGATGCTCCTAGCGGCATGCCGCGTGAGACACACAATCCGCGCTGTCTGATGACGCCTTACGTGCTTGGCCTTGATCCTTCACTCATTCACCCTCTCTCATCAGGATGTCCGAGGCCATGGCCGCTGTTTGCGCCTGAACCCGAGCATCGCGAGAAGCAAGCAAAAAGCCACTGGGGATCGACACAAACAGCTTGCCATACGCGCATCATTGTTCATCGCGATCCGGGCCCCGCCCGGGGGGTCTTCGTCACAAGCAAAGAATTGTATGGACCTCAGCCAGAGTGAGTCATGCCATTGTACGCAAGTGGCAGAGGGAGACGAGCGAACTGGAACGTCCTCTTTAGTCAGGAGTAAGAAATCACATGCAGCCTAGGGCCCTTCTTATCCAGGTGGCCTGCATACGCGCTCCTGAGAAGTTGGCTGGAGGTAAACAGGACTGGATGTGCATGGGCGCACAACTGATAGGGCCAGATTGGTGGCACTGCCTCTGTTCATTGGCAAGACGACCCGACAGCCCTTAACCCTGCGTCGCAAGATGGGGCTCCGTTCGCGATCCTTCGCGTCCCATGTCCCAGCGGACCACCTGGTCGGGTGCGAGGAGACGGTTGTAGAGAGGCACGCCAAGCTGTACGCCTGGGGCGAGGAGCGCAAATCTCGTGGCTTGTGAGCCGGGCCATTGAAGCTAGATTGACGTTAGGTGCTTCCACTGTGGGGCTAGAGCGTGGAAACTATGTACATGTAGGTGAGATGGGTAGACAGAACAGAATCGAGTCAACTGGCTGGTGTCATACTCATCCGCCATGCGGCCGGGGTCTTATCACCGCTTTCCGCTCCAAACGCGGGAAATGAACAAGCGAGTATTCCATCGTCTCCTCTGTTCACCGTCTGGTAGACCGCCAGCCGGCCGAATGCTGCTCAAACTGGAAGAGCCTGCGTGTCGATCGGTCCTGAGACGTGCGCGCTCTATTTGTCCGTACGTCGCGAGGCGCATGTTGCCAACATGATGACTGACCCACGCTGTGCATTGCTTGCAGGGGCTTGAATCACATGAGAACCTACGTGCAGCGAGAAATGTAGATGGCTGGGATGTCGAGTGTGCCAAACTGCCAACCAACCAGCCAGCCAACCAACTAGTTCGGCCGGCCAGTCGATAGGTTGGCAAAGAAAGAAGCATGCGTTGTCTCGTGGCGCTGATGAGCGGAATACTTTGCAACGGCACCCCAAGTTTGCTCGTGCTTCGTCATGAGGCAGAGCGGGGCGAGTGCGATAGAGGTGGCCAAAGAAGAATCGATAGATCGAGAGTAGTCAACACCCAGCTAAGCCATCATGGAGTAGGCACTTGTACGTAAGACATTATGAGGGCACCCAAGGACCGAGGAGACCAACTGTAGAATGATGTTGTCTCGGTGGACTTGGCAATTCGCTGACTGGTGGAACCTCACTTTACACTTTCGGATACCTTGCACTAGTGATGTGATGATTGGGCAGCTTGGTTCAAACCCCGTTTCATCAGAAGGGGTTCCGCTCAGCTGGGGCCTGTGGTCTGTTGTGCAGTTTGTCCAGGACGTTGGCCGGTCCAGTGCGAAGAAAGTGGTGTGTATGTGTGTGTGTATTGCCACCAGAGTCGCATCAAATACAGTGTGGTATCGGCACCTGTTTAGCCGGCAAAGTTGTTTCGGCTACGTTCGCTGTTGCCGCTTTTGGCCATGTCCGATTGTTGCTTCGTCGTAGACGAAAAGGTTTGCGGCGCACGCACGCCATCCACATGCGTCAGGTCGTGATTGTGGCTCGCTTGGACGTGTGACAATGCAAATGCTTATCATGAGGGAAACGGGCACTTTGGTGGGTGTTGCTTCTGGCGCACGGTTTCGCAAATGGGCAGCTCGCGCAAATCCCTGAACCAAGTGTCAGCGCGGCGCCGCCTTGGGGGGCTAGATATCAATCATGTCAGACGTGCAGCCACGTTACGGCGCGGATGGTCCTATTGACACAGTCGAAAGAGCGGAATTGGTTCCAGAAGGGGCCGGGGCGGGGCCGAGGATTTAGTTGGTTAGATTATCGCTTCTGCATGATCCCGGTCCAGGGTCTGTTCTGTCTTGTCTTTCTTGACTGTCTTGCAGGCTCGCTAGCCTACATGGTACTCTGTACTCAGTTGTCTCCTCGATCAGTGAGTCGCGCCCGAAAAGGAAGAAAAAGACTGACGTGGGAAGGGGCCAAGAGCCAGGGTCAATTGCCGCGCCGCAACGAGTGGATGATGCCATCAAACGTTGGACTTGCATGGCAAGGCCGGCGATCATGCCACCCATCCTTCGACCAACACACACTCAATAACGCGCCTCCAATTTCGGAAGTCGGGCGAGTGTAGCAGCTACATGTACCACCGCAGGAAACCTCCTGATGATGGGATGGTGGCAATTCTGTGAGGTCAGCGTGAGCTGTCACATATTGCCATGGCTGGCCGGATTCTCCAACACCGGTGGATGGGAACCTTTGTTGGGCAGGGGTAGCAATTGCATCAGACTTTGCTCTGGCGTCCCGCTCTCTCTGGCCAAGTGTTCTGCCCAGTTCAATGTGGGGCTAGTTCAAAACTTCAAGGCTCTGGGTCGGCAGGGGGGGTGCCAAAGGCATCCTTGGTTTCGAGTTGTACATGCGACAGGGCAGAGGTGGAGGAACCTGTGAGGAGACTGAACGATGTCGAACCCACGTGATTCGGTTTTGCAGGAAACGACGCAGAGGCAAGTATGCCGCACAGCCATCGGCAAGTGTTTTGGGTTTGTTGGAGATTGGATACTTCTATCTGAGATTTTACCTTTGCTCCCTCGGGCTCGGTTTCGGCATGGCACTCTCTCTGTCCCCCCATGGCCAGTAGGCGAAGTCCCGAAATATGCGATCCATTGCGGTTGGCGTGTGCACTTTGATCAACGCTGACAAGGGTCTGGTATTGGCAAGGGTTGGCGTGACGAGAAAAGGAGGTGTGGACATGTCAGCCGTAAAAGTCCGATAGTCGATCCCACTCCAACTTGGCCAAGGGCGTGCTCCGACAGTCAAGGGTAACGCTGCAGTCTTTTGCACCTGTATCTTTGGCAGCAAAGGCAGGCTTGGACCTCGCCTGCAGGTTTGGATCAGCAGATCGAACCAGTGATGCCGGCGGGCCTCATAACTCGACAGCTCTGGGCCGAGGGATGCTTGCGAGCTGTGGACACTCACTCGCAAGACGCGCAAGTTGGTCGGTTTAGTGTTGGCGCCATTGACATTCTTCAGTTCTTGCTAGTCACTTCAAAAAGCTTTTTTTTTTTTCTTCTTTTCATTTTATTTTCATTGACGAGTCATGGAACCAGAGGACATGCGCGTTTGTGACGTTGATTCGGGTATTGGAGTCGGGATCTGGGGTAAAGTGGCCAGTCAGTCAGTCACCCTACCACTCAAGCCCTGACACTAGCATTTTCGGAATGGGGATTGCAGAGCGCTCAGCATGCGGTCTGGGAATGCGCACGCAGGTGAATCTGTGGGTATCTGCGCCGAAGGGGCCAATGTGAACCTGAAGTCTTGACGCACTGTGCGTGTGCATTGGGTTTCCCACCAGGCTGAGTGATGTGATCGTCTGTGGCTTGGCATGGAACACCGTCTGTTAGCAATTGTCCTATTCCTCCATCTCGAGGGCTGTTCCCAACGTGGCTCTCAACAGGCCGGGGATGGTGAGGCTAGACGAGGTCATGTCCGGATCGAGTCAGCAGGTCGCAGCAGGCCACTGACTTCCGAACTCAAGGAGCGATGAGTTCACTGCTGCAGCGGCGGAATAGCGCATAACCAAGGCACCCACTACCTATCTGCCTGGCGAAAGTACCGATAACAGACTGGAGGATTTTGGTGGGCTGGTGGTGATGGTGGGTGGTCCAAGGTGGGACCGCCTATATAGCCAGAAAGAGCATGGGCTGGCTGGGGCCATGTCGGGGAACGTCGACCGGAACCAATTGGTCGGTAACCCGCTACTTGGTGTCGAGGTGTGTTGGGGTATGATGTGTACCATGAGTGTGCGTTTGCGTTTGCGTATGTCTGTCTATGTGTGTCTCTGCTGTTGGGCCAAGGTGAGCCACGACTCGCTTGAGTGATGGTCGCTGTGGATGGTGAGTGGTGGTGGGCTGTGTGGCTGGCTGGCATGCCCCCGCTATAATTCCGGAACACTTTAATTGCTCTCGTCTCGACTCTACTTACCTGCCTTGCATTGCCATGAGAGTAAGTTCTTGCAAACTCTGACAAACCCAGTCGGCTGCAACTGCCTCACCCTCGTACCCTCCTTTCCATCGTTTAAGGGAAAAAAAAAGTTGCTCATGCCGAACCCACCCAGAAAGTTCCTGTCGCTGCTGTCTGTCCTCTTCCATGGCCCCCCCTCTCCCCCCCCGGTTTGAATAACAATCCATCAGCCTCGCACTAACCAAATACATGCATTTCATCAACCTTGTTCAAAAGTTATCCCCCAAACACACTCGATGGTCAAAGCCATGGCTCCACTCCAATTGTCCCAGGTTATCGGTTGGGGCGCACTATCTAGATTTCGCTTGGTCTTCGTGTCTTCAGGACTTTCTAGGGGTCTGCCGAGTGCCTAGGTTCTCTAAGTGAAAGTTCCGAGCCGGGTTTGGTCAGTGATCACATTGTCATTACCTTGACTGACTGATGATGACTGAGTCCGCGAGCTTCGTCTCACTCCTTGTCACACACTAATACCACAACCCCCCACCCTTTCTCCCTTCCCTTCCCCTTGACTTGCCTTTTCCCTCTCTTTTCCCTCCATACGACAGATGCACACATACGCGCTCTCGCACGCACACGCACACCCACATCCACACAAGCAGACCAGCTGGTCCACTGGAACTTAAGGGAACAAACACACACACACACACACACAGACCCGCCCCCCGCCCCATCTCTCTTTCCTCGATCGGAACCTTCCCGCCCAAGCCACGACGTGCCTGCTTCGACTCAAAGTCCCACCTCAACTGGGAAACAACATTCAGCTCTGAAGGAAAGGCATTACCCACGCTAACCCTCATTGGACGACATAAGCCGACCACATCCCCCCCTTCCCAATTCACGTAATTTGGAACACCAACAACATAATAAGACACCTCGAGACCATAATCTCTCTCCACTTCACTGAAAGGGAAGCCTCAGGCGCCGCTCCCCTTCAATCGCTTACATCATCGACGCCCTACAACCCACACAACACCCTTCACACTTGCAACCACCTACCACCCGCCCACTCCCCCAACGCAACAGCCGCGTCACATCCATCTACTACCATCACCAGAACGCTGTCTTTGTGTGAACACTCTGTCCATCTGAGTACACCAGCCTCCCCATCGAGGCGCAACTCTTTGCAATCTTGCCTTTCCCTCTTCGTCATCCGACTTTTCTTTTTCTGTTTTTGTAACCCCCATCACAGACTACGTGTCGTACAGACAACATTTCCGCTTCCCGTCCTATCACCGAGTACGAACTGGGGTGTCTTGACAGAAGTCACGTCTCGGTTCACCCGGCACCCGAGCCTCTTCTCTTCTTCTTTCGCTTTGCAGGGTCACACGCTGAACTCTATTGAGTCGTAGCTCTGGTCATCTTATTCCTCTCTCTGCCCTGTTTGCGACCGATACTATACGTCGTTCTTCGGAACCCATTCTCATCTGCAGTTGGTGACTCGTGACTGCGCCGCCGCCACCCTGTGCTGGTAAGTTACCTTTTTACTTTTCTCGTCTTAGCATGTCATGGTTCACTCATAATGCAAGTGTTGCTGCCTCGCTTTTGTTCCTCGGCCCCTGATGGATACCTTCCCTCCAAATGTTGAACGGCGTCGGCCCTCATGCTCGTATTGCTTTCATCGCCCACCCATATGACCCCTCCTCTATAGCATGCCACCATTTTCCATGCCACCATGCGTCTCTTCAATCTGTTCTCATCATGACCCTCATCACCCAGTTTTTTTCTTCCTTTCTTTTCTTCTAGGCAGACACGATGCTAACGCTTTCGTCAGTCATCTGGCCGCAATTCAATCTGAAATCCTCTGAAATGGAATCCACCACCTCTGAGGTCAAGAACGAGGCCTCTGCCCCTTTATTAGACAGCCAAGTTCCCGATGATACGAAGCCTGCCGAGTCAGTCAAGACAGGCCTTCCCCAGACCGCTCTGAAAGCCTTGCTCATCGAGTCTGCTTCCAGAACCCCTGTCAACAATGCCCAACTGGAAGACGATGACGACCTCACTCCGCCGCCTGACCACATTCCCAGCCCAACTCATGACGACCCAGCCTCAGGCGACGAAATCGTGGTGAGCTCTAATCGTAATGGTGCCGACAAGTCTTCGCCTTTCCGTGTGGTTTCCGACCAAGAAGACGAAACCATGGGCGACGCCGATGAGGATCTGCCCTATCGACCGCAAACGTCCCCTTATCCCACGCGCAAGAGACAGCTGACAGCGTCAAACGTTCCTGCGGATGACGAAGAGGAAGGAAGCCCGCCCACAGACGACACGCCCATCTCCCGCGCAAAGCCGATCCGTCGCCCTGCGGGTGCTGATTCCAAAACTGTCATTCTTGGATACTGGCGCGACTCTCAGCATCCTGACGAGGCTGAGAAGCACGCTGTCGTCGGCTTCATTGACGTGCGAGAAAGGTTGCGAACACGAATTGCCGACGTCAACCGCAAGCGTCAGCCCGTTGACACCAAGAAGTATCCAGTGCCTCCTGGCCCCGGTGGTAGCTGGGTGACATTTGAGCGCGTCGTTTTCGAGCCTCAACTTGTCGGGCTCAACCATCACCACATTAAAGAGTTCGTCAAGCAAAGGGCCGGTGTAGAGGGAGAATCGTCCGAGACGAAGCGACAAAACGACATGCTCGCTGTTGCAGAGGCGCGACGTCGCCTGGAGAGAAACCCGGCCTCCGAAACGGCGCCTACCCCGGCTGTGGCCTACGGTCTCACGATCCCCGAGGACGCTGTCATCTGCAGTCGTTCTGAGATCGCTAAGCGGCGAAAGCTTGGCCCAACCCCTCAGAGTGGCGTTGGCACGATTAGCGGTGGGGGGCCGATACTGAGTTCCCAAGCACAGGGCCAGCACCAACCGCCAATGAGGCACGCTCTGGCGCAGGAGCTTCCTCCGATGCACTCTCAGGTCGGTCCTAGGCGCAGTCTGCCCGACCATCCTGAAAGCAGCGAGAGAATTTCTCCCGTGCCCGTGTTCGAGGCCCTCTGGGGAACCCGCCCAACCAGGATCGTCGTCGGGTATTGGAAGCCCAGCAACGCGCCGAACGAACGCGATCGCCATGCGGTTCTCGGCATTCTCGGCACAAACGACATGTTCCGGGTCAAGGTTGTTCGTGAGACTCGAGACGGGCGCTATGTTGATGGAAACTTCCCTGTGGGCGCAGGCGCTCTGTGGATCCAATGGCCTGAGATGGAGCCAGAGCCGCATCTCAAAGATCTAAGCCGAACAGAGGTGAAAGAGTACGTCCGGGTTCGCCAATACCAGATTGACCGAGGCGAGACGGAAGCGCAAAAGGTTCGCAACGAGACCCATGCCGTCTACATTGCGCAACAGCGTGTCATGCACGGCGTCAAGATCGTCCCCCCACCGGGCGCCGCCGCCAACGGGAATGGTGTTCATAGCCGACATGACGATGATGTGCCCGGGCCGGAGGACGCAGATATGAACGATGCCTATGTCGATTCCAAGCAGGACATGAAGACTGTGTTCAATGGTCAAGAACTCAGGAGCAACGGTCGCCGTCCAGATGCCCCTCACGGACGACACTCGCTGCCAAACCTCGAGAGTCGCCAGTCATCAAAGACTCCCCTTGCTGCACGGAGGGATATGGATACTCACGCTCGTCGGGAGATAGGACGGCTTGAGCAGGCCGAGGTTCGCAGGGCTCAGTTTGCTCTAGAACGGGAGGCTGCTGCTGCCAACGCCAATCTGGGCATGCCGATGCAGCACGGCAGCCAATTACCCCCCATGCAAATGGTGAACAATAACCATAGTCGTGCGAGCCTTGGACACTCATTCCACGCGCACGATGACCTGCAACGTCTTGAGAGCGTATGGCAGATGCAGGAGGAGCAACGCAATAAGGTCCAGCAGCTGCCGCCTCCCCCGGCTCCCGTTCAGGCCCCACCTCCTGTCCATACGCCAGTGGCTAACGGCAACGAAGTCAAGTATCATGAAGGTATTCGGTACGAGCGCAAGCCTACCGGTAATTTCGCTGGCAAACTCGTGTCGACGGGCTCCCTCATCAGTATTGATGGCGAGGATTACATCGAGTACCGCCTTCTTACGAAGCCGTCGTTCTGATGCACGCCTTCTGCGATGTTGTTCTGCCGCTGTTGTTCTCACTATCACCCCCATTTTCCCTTGCTTCGCGTTTGCGACACTTCACTCTCAGACTGTTCAATTATGGGGCGGAGCCTACATGATTTGTTTGGCGCGGACGGTATTCAAAGCCCTTTGGCGACATATTCGGACTATACCCCCTTTACACTTGTTTTCACTTCGGTCCAGGCCTCGTGTCATCCTGGATGTACGACACCGATTTTCTCCCTGTTTCTCATCTCGTTAGACTGGCGTTCAACTTGGTTCATTACAAATCGGACGGACCAGAGTCCGTCATGGGTTTATTACAAAATGCGAATGAAGGGTCCAGAAGAGTTAGCTTGTTTTCCTTACTTTTGTTTACGTGGCGAGGAATGACTTTGTACGATTACTCGGAATGCAGAAGCCGAAGAGATCGCGCGGGAAGAGAAGTTTGAACTCGCATCAGGATGAGTTTTCTACAACCTGGATGATGGGCTGTTGAGTTTATGGTGAAAGGCGTGACCTGGCGTCTTCATGAGAACGGCGTGGTCAGCTTTTACGTTCAGCCGCAGCGGGTATTTCTCAAGATCAACAATTCACACATGCCTGTAGTCTTTGATAGGATGCATGTCGCTCAAGAGACTATGTGGTGGCTTTTAGGTTACGGAGAAGATGGTGTGAGAAGTGTACATGTTTTGACTCGGAAGCATGTCAAGAGACCAGGTTTGTCATTCTCCAAGCACGGCAGCAAGCACCATGCAGGGAAATCACGACGTGTAGCTCGAATCAAGTCCATATTCATCAACGTGGACAAAATTTGCTACGGATAGAGAGAAAGCATGACGAGTCGAGCCGAGCCATCCTGCCGCCCCGGGCTCCCAATGCCATGACCATCATTTTCCAGCGAACCACGCCATGTTTTTCTTCTTTGCCGTCAACTCACCAGCCCGTCCTTCCAAGCCCAACAGCCCGCCCGCCCGCCCGCCTGCCTCGTTCCTCTGTCCCATTCCTACCACAAAGGAAGAACAGAAAGCCTTTGGGCGGGGGAAAAAACACCACCAGGGGATATCTTGTCTCAACCGAGTCCACAACCCAGCGAAAAAGGAAACAGAAAAAAATACGTTGGAAAGAAGAACCAGAAAACACCATGTCGCCGCCCATCACCTCTTGGTCTTTGCCTCTCGCCTTTTTTGTTCCCATTTTTAGCTGCCACCGGCGGAAAAAAAAGAAAAAAAAAGAAAAAAAGAGAGCCTGCCGCCGTTCACGTGCCTCAATCCACGCGCCGTCGCTTCAGGTCCCGCGGGCTGCCGTCGTATCCAGCCAGCTCGTCCCGCGGAATCTCCTCCGTGCCCGCCGGGCTAGGCGTGTTATGGCCCGTGCTGCCCACGTCATGGACGCGGCCCGCGGCGCCGGGCGTGAGGCCTGAGCCGGTGCCGGGAGCGCTGGTGCCGGCGGCCGCGGCATTGTTGGCGTCGAGCAGGCTAAAGTCGAATTCGGGGGCGTTGGCGGCGTTGAAGTCGAGGCCAGAGAAGGGTCCCGTGTCATTGAAGGCGTCCGAGTCGAGGTACTGATCCAAGTCGAGGCCGGCATCGATGGCACCGTTATCGAAATAGTTGTTCGTGTTGTCCGATTCGTCGAGACCCGGTATGCGGCCCGAAGGGCTCAAGGGGCCGAGCATGCTCTGCAGGTGGTGGATCTTGTCCGTGTTGTCCTGTGACATGCGACGCAGGGCGTCCAGTTCTTCGCTGTTGTAATTGATGCTGCTGAGGCTCGGCGGTTGCGGGTTGGATCCCATGACAGGAGACAGGGAGAAATCGGGCGCGGTGGCCTTGGAGGCCGAGTCGGTTATGTTGGCAGTAGGGAAGGAGGGGGTGGATGTGTTGGGGCCGGCGGCGGCGGGGATGCCGCTTGACGGTTGCTCGGAAGTTTGCGCCATCATGTTATTGAGCATTTGCTGGCGTTGGTCGTTGGTCATTGTCGTGGGCGTGTTGGCGACAACGTCAGGAAGGTCAACCCCTGTTGTGTTGTTGTTGGCGTTGGTGTCTTGGATGATCTTCATCATGCTTTCGTGGGGGTTTGACTTCAGCTCCTGCGCTAGGTAATCGGGAGAGTTGGTGTTGTCGGGTGTATCAAACAGCTCCGTCACCGAGCCAGGCTCAGCGTTGTGGTGGCCAAACGTCTGCGGTGTCGGGGCCGCTGACGGCGTCGAGGAGACGGTGCTGGCGCGGCCGGCGTTGCTGTTAGGGATTGGTGGCAGTAGACCCCTCGCCCGCTTCGGGGCGGCCATGCCGCTCGGGCCGTTGGTCTGCGCCTGCACGAAATCGCCCAAGTCCACGACGCTGCCCTGGGGCATCGTGCCGTTCATGGACCCAGGGATGATGCTCGCGAGCAGCTCGTTGACGTTCTGTGAGCCGTTCTGGTCTTCCAGCGTCTTCCTAAAGACATTGGCAAGGAAATTAAGGATGGCGTTGATCGAGTTCTGATGGCGGTCGTGCTGCTCCTGGAAGACGGCTGCCTGCTGATACAGATTCCCATTTTCTCGCTGTATGCGGTTGATGGCGCCGAGGATGATCTTTTGCTGATCACGAACCTTGGCCAGCTCTTCCCGAATCATGGCCATTTCCTTCTTCTCCAGTGGCATGTTGCTCTGCGGCAGGGCTCGCGTGGTTTGCGCTGCAGCCGGGATGTTCAGGCCCGAGGGCAAGTTCTCGTCAAAGCCCACCTCTTCCTCGCTCTCTACTTCGCCTTCTGGTGCCTTCGCCTTCTTGTTGCCGCCCTTGCCTCCGCCATTCTTGGGCTTGTTGATCAGCCATAGCAGATTAGGGTGGCCTCGTCGAAAGTACGGGTTTGAGTACTCGCTCGGACTCTTGTTTTTGCGCTCACTCGCGCGCATCGAGTTGTCCGACAGACCGACTCGTTTGTGAAAACCGTACATGTTGAGCTGCCGCACAAAAGATGCATAATTGTTGTGTTTGAAAAGCTCGGGTATCAGCGTCTTGGCGAATTCGTCCTCATCGAGAACGATGAACGAATCGCCCTTGTCAGACCATCTGATCAGGTCGACGTTCTTCTCCTCATCGAGGAAACTGCGTCAAGTCAGCGACATGGTTTAGAGAAACGGGCTGGAAGGCAAAATCTCACCTGCTGAGCTTCTGGACAAAGGGAGGAATTTGTTTCCTCTTGGATTGCGACTCGCGCTTTGCCTTCTGGGCAGCCTCTTCAAGCGCCTCAATGCTATCCTGCTCGTTCATGGCGCCATTGCCCGGTTGTTGGATGAGCGAAGAGGAGTCGTCGGTCGCATAGCCCCACGGGTCGGCGTTTGGGTCAAAGTTGCCGCGCTGGGCGGTGGGAACCAGTGCCCGGTTCGTCTGCCGCCGTGCGAGAGCATTGTTGGGACTAGGGGTCGGATGCTGGCCGTAGGGCTGTTGTAATTGCTGCGATGACGGCTGCTGCGACTGGGGGGGCATCATGCCATACGGGTTCACGCCCTGCGCCGTGCCGTCGACGAAGCCGCCGGCATCTGCGGTGTTATGCCACCTCATTAAATCGTTGGGCGTCGGACTCGGGAATTGGTTCGCCATCGGAGGGACGGGGATGGACGGAGCGGTACCAGGTGCAGGGCGTTTTCGAGGGTTCGATGGAGACATGGAATTGTACATGAAGCTGTCGATGTACGTCTTGGAGAGCGATGTGAGGTTGACCAGGAACGCGGCGATTTCGTGGGTACTGGTGCGCAGCCTGGTTGAAGCCTGCAGCCTCACTGGCAGACGCGCAGGCGGTACGCGGAGTGCCTCGAAGCCTCGTCGGTGTCTTGCGGGGTTGCGGGCGGACGATGATCGAGCTGCGAAATGCACAACCTTCTCTTCGTTGCCAGTCTTGTCGTGTGGTCGTGGGAAGGAAAAAAATGCGTTGCGCGCGGGGCAGGATGTGTCGCCGACGTTCTGCAGAAAGTCGTGGGGGGGAGATTCCGGTCGATCCAGCACTTGGTCGATGGACGTCCTTCCGTCTAAATAATCCGTCTATGTGTTTCCCTGGCGTCACGTCTGTAGAAAGAGCAGATGTGTCGTGCCTGGCTGTAGTCTTTTGTGAGACACTGCGCCAATTGCAGGAGTCTTCGGGTTGTTTCGCTTTGGATGAAGATGTCTACTGTACCTTCTCAAAAGCAATCCGCGACAGTGGTGTCGCGTAATGCTTATCGAGCAAAGAGATGCCCTTGTCGCAAGCGATGGTCGCTAAGGGCCAGGAGGGGTTGGCACCAGAATAAGGACGGATGTCTCGGCGAGAAGGTGAAAGGCCTGCGTGATGCCTGGATCTGGAGTTCTGGTTGAAGGGTCTCGACACGATGTCGGTCAGCCCGTTCTGCGGTCAATGGCTGCTCAGCAAGACAGTGGGTGTGGGTGGGCTGCAGCGAGGTGTTGCGGTGCAGCTTCTGGTGTCGCGCCTGTCAGGGTGCCAATAAAGGCCTGTGCCGCACAGGAAAGGGCTGTCAAGGCAGCGGTCAGATGAAGGCCAACTGCTGGACAATCTGTGCCAAAGAAACAGAGTGTCAACTGCTCAAGGCTGTCGAAGATGGTTTCGGTCGTGACGTGGCATGAGCACCAGGAACTGGAGCTGTGCTGGTCCGTCCGGAGGAAACACAGGCTGGCAAAGTGGTGAGATGGGGTGAAGGCGCGCCCGCTAGACGGGCAAAGGCACCGGGACTGTCAGTTTAGGTGCTCCATGCGCTGGTGGCCGCCCGTGGCCTCCGCTGTGGGACATTGTAAAAGCGTCCGGAGGCCAGAGTCCCTCCCACTAGGCCTTGGCGACCATGGGAAATTTCATCCAATGACATACAATGGAGGGCCATGTCATCATCCCTACCTTCGCCGTGGGCGCCGCGGAGGTTCGCATTGGGAGAGATGGATGTTACCCCACTGTGGACGCTGAGGATAGGGACTTTACGCAAGCAGCAGTCTCGATATCTACATATTGAATTGTTCTAAACAAAAACACGAAACAATCGCCAGCAACCCGTTGACGAGGGTCTGCAGCTCTGACAGCAAGTCAACAGCTTTCTCAACCGATCAACTATAGAGGCCTGAGCTGCTCTCGAGGCCGCCAGCGCGGCCATCCTACAAAATGCGCAAGGGAAAAAATTCATTTGGGAAGGCCCACATCGTCATAGCATCATCGTCAGTAACCCCCCATCCTCACGACGTCATCCGTGCTTCAGGAAATGCCCTCTAGGGTGGAGTCTCTCGATTCAAGCTGGGTGGAGCCTCAGATGAAGTTGGCACTCTCAAGCCCTCAACTCCACGGGTATCATCATTGTGTTGGCGACGAACACTATCACTACAGCGGGCGGCCATCCATCCTATCGGGCCCCTCGGCCCGCCAGTGCAGATGCCTTGGCCATTTTGGCATTCCTTGCCTGATCCCATTCCCTGCCAGTCTTGCCCGACCGAGCTTCCCTTTCGGCTTTCTTCTCCTCCTGGAGGGTCCGCGCCTTGGCCCGCGGATCGATCACCACGAGCTCCTCCTCGGCCTTTTTGCGGTAGCTCAGATCCTTGCCCAACTTGTCCGCCTTGAAGCTGAGGGCCTGTGACATCCAGCCCTCGTCGTCGCTCTCCTCGTCCTGGCCGGCCTTGTCCCAGGCTTTGCAGCTCTGGCAATTGACAATAAAGTGAAGATCGCAGAGTTCGGTGTCCTCGTCGTCGCCGCCCTTTGCGACCTTGTCATGAATGGCTTCGTCCGGCTTTGGCCTTTCCGTCATCTCCTTCCCTGCTGGGACCTGGTCGAGTTTTGATTTGAAGGCATTCAGCAGGTCCAAGGCCGCCTGGTCCTCCCGCGTAACCGTGGTGCCCCCCGTCCTTCGTTTCCTGCCCCTGACAGAGGTTTCTGGAATCATATTTTCGAGTGCTGATTTCTTTTTCGCTTGTGGCGCCTGCTCCGTCTGGAAATTCCGTTTCATGGATGCCTTGAGCGCGGCAATCTCTTCGTTGGCTTTCTCCAATGCTGTCTTCTGTGGCTTCTCCTCAGGCTCTGGAGAAGATTCAATCTCCATCTTGACAGGAAGCCTTTTTTGTGGTGGTGAAGCCTTCTTGGCTTGTGGTTTGTCCTCCTCGTCCGATGTGTGTAGTTCGGTTGTCGGTACAGGTTTACGGTTCGCGGCAGCCTGATGAGCCCGTGACTTGGCCGTCTTCTTGCCCTTCTTCTCGTTCTTCTTAGGTTCTTCCTCTTCCAGGTCCATCACTATTCTCGTGTCGAATTTGGGCTTCTTAAACGCGGGAGTAACCTCGCCTTCGCCCTCCTCGTCACCGAAGCTGAGGAGCTGCTTTCCGCCTTTCCTTTTCTTCTTGCGCTCTACCACGACAGTCTTCGGGGCTTGAGCTGCCACGCGCGACCGCTTGACCATGTCTTCGAAGGGGTTGACCAGGATCTCCACACTTGTAATCTTGACTGGGTAGGTCGGCCGATCTGTGCCGGGCGTGACCTCGCCTTCGCCCATCTTGGCCAGGTTGTAGATCGTGTCACCCATGATGCGCCCAAACAGCGTGTTCTTGTTCGTCAGTTCTTCCGTCTGGTCGAGCGTGAAGAAGAATTGGCTGCCATTGGTGTCCGGTTTGCTCTCGTTGGCCATGCCTAAGAGGCCTCGACGGTTGAATTTCAACCTCGAGTGGAACTCGTCCTTGAAGCACACGCCGGTAGGGCCGGCGTTCTGACCTCGTCGCTCGTCCATCGGCCACGGGTCCAGCTCATCGCTGAATGCCCCGCCGTCGTAGATCGACTCGCCGCCATTGCCAGTGCCTGTCGGATCGCCACCCTGGAGAATGAACCCCGGGATGAGTCGATGGAAGATTGTGTTGTCGTAGTAGCCGTCGAGGGCGAGCTGCAGAAAGTTGCGGCATGTGAGGGGGGCCTGCTTCGCCCAGAGCTCGACGGAGAGGTCGCCCTGGGTCGTGTGCAGGATCGCGGATGCCGTGGGCTGTGGCTCGAGGTTGTATATGGCCGACATGGTGTCGGGCTGCGGGCACGCGCAGTTGTGGGCTTGAGAATGTGGTCCTGGGCAATCGTTTGTATGCGCAACGAGGTTCGAGTCTGTCAGTCGTGCGCTCGCTGCTTGGGAGCTTGCCTGTTTCCTAGCTACGTGGGTGGCCCAAGCGTCCAGCGCGCCGCTTTGAGATTCTATTGATACAGTCACGTGGGTGTGATAGCCTCAACATCATCAACGTTGTCACTGAAGCTTCTGAATAGAAACACTAAACTAAGAGGCACTGTACTCATGCAAATGACCCTGATGTTTGACCCCGTGTTTCGCCTCACTTTTCTACCCATGAGGGGGAAACCATGCTTTGCCTCGCTCTCGTTGACCCCGACACTACATACTTCATTGCGAACGTCACGCTCGACAGCACACTCGATTGTGGGCAAAATGTATAGTTCGCTCTGCGAAATTCAAGCTTTCTATCTAAATCTGATCCCCAGCTTTTCGCTGATAGCTGGTACTGGTTGCCTGAAGTGGTATTTCGAAGGGTGCCCAAGGTCTGCAGATGTGGAAAGAGGCTTCGTCATGTCGTGAAAGCCAAAGGAAGGTACCCAACCTTGGTTGCCTCAGTGCTATCTCCGCAAGGAGTGCTAGAATCATATAAACATCTTTGAAAATTGTCTCACAAACTCATAAAATAGCTGTCGAATATGGCATCCGATCGATTGCAACACCTTGCTAGGCTGTCTTTTACCTCCCCGAGATATTGTCCATACTTGACCGATCCCTGAGGCTTCATCCGTTCTCTGCATCCCGATGCCGACTTCAACATCTGCGACGGAGACGCAAGATTCTGGCGCCGAAACGGTCACCTCGGTAACAGAGAGTTCAGAAGCTGCAGTCATTGAGGCAGCCGAAATATTGATGAACATGTCGACGGGCACTCAGCCTGGGCCATCGCTTTACAGCAACCCCTGCATCTTCTACAAAAGTCAAGATGATGGACTATACCGACTCTCGACCACGAAGGCGCTTCAGCGCATAGGGCGCAAAAGTGCCAGGACCTACAATATCGATACCCTTGTCGGACGCGACGGCAAGGTGTTTGGCATCAACGCCGCTTGCAGAAGCTGCCGCGAAGTTCTCCATGATGATGCATTCAATGTTATTCATGATGAATCTGCCATCGAAACAACAGCATTGTTCCTGCTTGAAGAGTTTCGGCACATGGGACCGCTTTCGGACCGAGAATGGAATAGACTCGGATCACTGGCAGCTTGCGATGAGGGGGTTGAATACGAGACCAAAGGGAATAATGGACGTCAACCACTAAGGGCGTTGTTAGGACTGCCATCAAATGACAGCCCTTTCATCCTGTCTCTTGACGCGGATGGCAAGTGCGTTATCATCCACTCGCTAACCTAGTGCTCTCCTGTCCTGCCGTCTGCTCCGCCGGCCCTCCCGAGCTCTGCTTCCACGAAGCCCTTTCCATCCCATTCAACGACGCCCAATCACAGTCTTAAGACAAGTATCATGTGAGGCAGAGCACATACTAGCGAAATAAACGAGTCGAGCTAAAGTCGAGACGGTCGGGTACCACGGACAGCTGCATCGTTTGCGCTGCATCAGCAAATGCACAGTATCCTCCTTCAAACCTGACTAACTTGCTCCAACATGGGAAGCGAATACCACACATATATTCACTCCCACCATCGCCATACGGGGCACCGGACGCCACGCTAGAGACGCCTGAAGAAAGGCAGTGGCAGTAAGACTAAAGGCAAGGCGACGACCCTAAGGGGCAGATGAGCGAATATGAAGCCCAGAATAACAGAGGAGCTCCGCGAAGAGACCTTCATGAAGCTCAAGAGCACCATTTCCAACGAAAATGACCTGCCGCTGATCATGAGTGCCTGCCTCATTTGCCGCGATCATGCGGATTAGACCTAGACGCAGCTGGCGTCCCAACCGGCACAAGAAATAGTCATGTTGGGTACGAAGACCCAGGGGGGCTCACTTCGAGTCGATCCGTCGCAAGACGTTCAACGCAGTGATGGCCGGCTGAATCAAGGCGGCGAAGCAGGTTTTCCGTAAGCTACGCTTCGCCTCCCTGGACGGCATATAATCGGATAGCAGGAGCCGAGGCCCGAAATCATGTGAGGTTCCTGCAGGAGGTGAGAGCGTTTGGACCGGATTGCGAGCCGAAGCCGGAGCTATGTAGAAACCGGACGACGGCGAAGCCAGGAACAAGTGCTGAGTTGGGAATGCCATCGATGATGAGGAAAGAGGAAAGATGGGAGATGGGAGATGGCAGACGACAGATCAGTCAGATAAGACGCAATGATATAAAGACAAGAAACACACCAGGGAGACATGGAAAATTGTCAACAAGGATGCGCAATGTTTCCATAAATCGTGATGCTTTATCGTGTTTTGGTTTCCCCGCTCTAGTCTTTTTTTGTCTCATCTGTTGGCTTTCTATCTTTAGCAAATGTGTTCGCCACAATGAATGGGAACACAAGAGTGGCATCTGCATAAACCTGATCATTTTGTCAGTCGACTTCCACGGCATGTCAAAAGAGCTTCGTACCTTGACAGCATCTGCGCCGACCTTGATCTTGCCCCAGGATACAGCCTCGTCGGGCCTGGCACCGGCATCGCTCCCGTCGAACTCCTGGCCGGTATTGATGTATACGGCAGACTCGGCGCCATTGCGCATAAGACAGGCATTTGCAATGTGATGCTTGATGACGCCGCCGCCAAGGATGATCATGCCAGCACGCTTGGCGCGGACCGAGATGGTGTTGATCTTGCGAATGTCCTCCACAATATCGCATTTCAACTGCTGGGGAGATGTCTTGAAAGTGTGAAAGTAAAGCATGTCGCCCAGGCTACCGTCTGTCAGCGCGGGGCAGAAGACGGGAATATCGTTCTTCCAGGCCCAGTAATAGACGGATCGCTCATCGTTGATCTCCTTGCCGAGGCGGTTGATCATCTTGGACGGGGTCCAGTTGATTTCTTCCTCGGACCCTTTGCTGGCTTCCTGTTCCTCGAGCATCTTGTCGAAAATGGGCACGACCCAGTCCTCAAACTCGCGGTAGTTGGAGTTCGGCACGACGAGGTTTCCGATACGATTCAGCCCCTTTTTCCGCAGTCCCGCGCCTGATTCAGAAAAGGAAGACATGTATGTGTCGCCCAGACACTTGATGAAATCCTCCTCAACGCCACCTGCGGTCGTCACAACAGCGGAGACATGCTTGTGCTTGACGAGCCAACGGAAGACGCCTCTCATGCCGGACGATATGAGGTTCGAGGTGTAGCCCAGAAAGATGGTGGTTTTGTCGCCCGTCTCCGGGTCTCTCCACGCCCTCTGTCGCTACGTCAGCGACCGCGAATGAACTCAGAGGCAAAGAGCCCCCCCAAAAAATCATGAAATAATCCTACCATATCATTGATGATCCTGATGGCGTCTGCGAGAGATGTTGCCTGAAAACCCATGTATCGCATGCCGCGCAACAAATCGTCGGCTGTGATATCGCCATCTAGGTCATCGAAATCCAATTCTTGAACCTTCTGTGCCCCCTCAGGCATTTCCTCGGAAACCACCAGCACTGCATCTGTGGCTGCCGCCGGAGGAGCGTTGCTCTCGGTCGAGTTCATGATGAAGGATGGTCGGACCAGGGTACGATGTTTGTTCCAGGGTCTGTCTGTCTGTCTGATGGATAATGGTGACTTGATCTTGCTGGTGCAATATGCGCAATGTTCAAGTGACAGAAGTTGAAAATTCCAGGGACTCTGCTCTCTAAAAAAAAACAACGCACCAGATCCGGATCTACCGTATTGAGAGCCCTTCTGGTGTCTTCCACTTGAGTTGTCGCGTCATGTGAAGAGTCGTCAACGTTGAGAAAGACTCACGGCACAGACTTTCAAGAGGTACGTACCGACCGCACGATGCAGAATGCAGAACCGAAAACCCTACCACTAGATGGCCAGGCACGGATCCGCGACTCGTGCAAGACTCGCCCGGGGACGAAGTGGAGACGCACAAGCCACCTGGATGTACTGCAGTACCATCGAATCTCGAATTGCGGCGGCCCCCCTCTTACCTAGAGGCTGAAATGCCCTGAACTGCCGGGATAACCGCCTGACTGGCCGAACCTAACGAGCCTGGGATGCGACCAGGTGGGCTCCGCCGAGCTCGTTTCGAGGACCGCTTAGGCGCCCCTGGTCAGCGCCCTTCACGCTTTGCCCTTGCCTGCGCTCTTTGCCCTTTGGGCACTGAGGGCCTGGGGACTGAAGACTGAGGACTGCGGACTGAGGACTGAGGACTGGCGACTGAGGAAGGAGGAAGGAGGGAGCCTTGTGGCTGCTGCCCCAATTGCTGGCGTCTCCACTCTCTGATCGTGTGGCCAGGTGCGATCCATTGGCCCTTGGTCCATGGTCCCTGCCTGGATCAATCTGAAAGAGAGCGCGAACCCAGGTAGGCCTAGTCTCTTGCTGCGGCGCCCGTGCCACTGCCAGCAGCGGCCGCCGGACAGACCACTGAGTGGTGTCTTCAATCCTTCAATCCTTCAACATCCAAATCTCCATACACGCCAATGCACACCACCCCTCCCGGCCAGCACAGTCACCTTAGCACGCCGTGAAGCACGACGTGACTCCCATCGTGAAGACGCCCTGTGACCAAGGCACGAGAACGACGTATCGTACACGCGCATCCCATCACGGCCAACGCGACCCTTGCGCAGGTGTAGATTCGACGTCTGTTGCTGTTCCTCGACAAACGTACTGGTGGTCGACACCCAAACCTAAACCCAGACTGCGCCGTATCTCCAGCCACGTTCACTTCCGCGACTGCATCCACGGCCATCACGGATGGTGTTGAACTTTATAGCAAGGGCGTCTCGAGGGCAGTAGCCCGCCCGGAGCCATGTGAGCATTACCTCCACCCGCACCTTGGCAACCCATGATGAAGATCCGCGTCGCAACATCCGATATCCAGCCCCGGTGCTGTTCATGTTCTCTTCGCGCGCCTCAGTCTCTCTGCAAAGACCCGTGGCCTATGCCACGTGTATCAATGTTGTACCGTGTGCCATGTTTTCCCCCAATACTTACACGTCTTCTAGGAATCCAACAAGATACAATTCACGATACGACGGCGATCGCCGGTCTCGATCACCTGGCGAGCGTTCGGAGCGCTACGAGCGAGGTTCCCAGTACAGCGACGGTGATAGGAGGCGATCATCAGCCGAGACGCGCTCTGCTTCAGCTTTCCAGAACAACCGCGAGCCGTTCCGGGATAACATAGCCCGCGAGCCACCTCGCGGCCCGAAAGCCCTGCTTGACCCACCAGCTGGTCCTCGGGGTGGTGGACACGCTGGCGACTTCGTCGGTAGAGGACGAGGTCGAGGGCGCGGCCGAGGATGGGGCCGTGACGGCAGCAGAGACCGAGGTCGTGACCGCGACGGAGACTTCAGAGACCGCGGATGGGATCGCGACGAGTTCCGTGACCGCAGAGACAACAACTACCGAGACGACCGGAGCCGAGAGAGAGAGCGAGATCGCGATTGGCGCGATGGCCGAGAAAACTTCCGCACAAGGAGACCCTCGCCAGGCAGAGGCCGATCGCCGCCCCCACCACTGCGCGAGTTCCGAGACCGCGAGCCTGGTCTTGTGGTAGAACCAGAACGCTCCAGACGTGGATCAAGGGATGGAGGACCTCCTTCGGCTGGCTCCTCCAATTCCGATCAAGCCTTCGGCTTTGGAGGGCCTTTCCCCCGTGGTGGAGGCTTCCGAGGGCGCGATCGCGGACGCGGCTGGGACCGCGGAAGAGGTGGCAGAGGAGGAGGAGGCGGCGGCTATTACGATGAGCGCGATCGGTTTGGGCCTCGCAGTCGCTCTCAGGAAGGGCGCTGGGGTCGCGAACGAGACGAACGCGACCGCGTCGAACGCAACGACCGATGGGCGGATCCTGATGCCCGCCGAGACCCCCGAGACGAGCGAGAGCCTCCCCGAGAGCTCTTCCGAGCGAAGCTCGAGCGGGGCCAATCATCGCAGGCGCCATCTCCCATCAACAACAAGGATGTCTCTCCGCCTCCTGTCGCTCCTTCGGCACCAGCGTTCGGCTCTGTTCCAAGCCGCATCACAGGCGTGAGCGATGCGCCCGCAGCTGGAGGTACCGGAAAGGTCCCACCCACTGGGCCACGAGGCTTCAATGCCGAACGCCCCGTGTCTGCGGGACACCCGGGCGGCAATGACATCCAGGCTCCCCCAAGTGGCCCATCAAAGCCGCAGCTCCCAGATGGAAGCCCACCGATCCCACTTGGACCACGTTCTCAGCAACAGAAGCAGCAGCGTCCTTCAAGCAAGCAATGGATTAACCCGGCACTCGCAGGGAAAAAGATTCCGGAGTCCCCAAAGATCATGCGGTCCCAAAGTTTTGCTCAGCAACAACGACCTTTCCCCTTCCGCCCAGACAACGGCAATGCAGAGCAGAGCGACTATGAACGACGTCCTCGAAGCAGTGACGCGAAGGCAGACCAGGTGCCAAACTCGCCCGACTCCCAAGCACGTTCCTATCAAGGTCCCGAACCAGGCGAAATTGTGACGACCAAATCGGAACGCGATCACAGATCCCCCAGAGCCTCCATGGAAAGGAACATGAGATACGGAGATGACTATAGAGATGCTGCTCCGTTTGTGTCAAACGTTCAGAGGCTAGGCGATGCGAAGCCGGCAACGAAGCCCCGTGAGCCAGCGGTACCCTCTCACGCCCCGGATGTTGGGCCAGCGTCGGCAAAGGGACCAACGCCACCTCCGCCCACGCCCCCCCGCAAGCAAACTAAGCTCCGCATCCCAGTTGTGCACTTTGCATTGCCGCCACGGGAGGCGCAGGCAACATCATCAGACGAACCGTCAGAGTCGGATGACGATGAAGACTTTGGAGAGTACTTTGCGACGGAAATTGCCAAAGAAGAAGCTGAATTACGACGCCTAGAAGGACTTGCAGACGACGTACCAGACCATGTTGTTGCTCGCTTTGCCAAAGTCTCCCACGAAGCGATGATGAAGCTTGTCGCTGAGCCAGAAGGTCTCGTTGAGATGCTAGGTCAGCCTCCACAAGAGGCTTTGACTCCGCCCAAAGAGGAGAAAGCCCAGGCCGCTGCCACGACCGAAGAGACGGACCCACGACCGGTCCTTCACAGCGTCTTGCCTCGCAGAGCATCACTTGTCGATGATGCCGTGCCGGGAAAACGCGTCGAGACAGCAGCATCGTCCGAGACTGCAGTGGAGCCACAGGCCAAGACGGAGGACATGGACATCGATGAAGCCCGGCCTACCGTCTTGGCGCCACCAAAAGAAGCATTGGAAGCGTCTTTAGAACCAGATGCTCCAGTGAAGGATGCTGTTCAAGAAACCGTAGAAACGATGGAAGTCAGCTCCGCACCACCCCAGAAGCAGCCCGGGCAGCCCAAGGCGGTTCCTCTTCCCAATGCGCCCATCGAAACGATCGAACGAGAGAAGGGCGCGCCAAGCACGCCTTCTCAAGTAGACGACGAGGACGATGACAATTCCACCGAGTCGGACGAGCTGGATCCGATGGATCTCGACGCTCAACGTCGCCTCGAGACCCCGCCCATTGAAAGTCTTCCCAACTTCGAATGTCTGGCTTGGAACCGAGACAAAGACTTCCTCCAGTCTTTGCAGTCTGATTCAACAGTCGACGCCTTCATTGCCGAGGAGCTTGACAAAGTATCGCTACTGAAGCTATCAGAACAAGACGCTGCACGGAAAGCGTATGGTGAAAGGTACATGGACTACCTCAACTACACGTTATCTGACGACCTGGTTGCCACGAAGAGCAGAGAAAAATTCGTCAGCAATATCCCGCCGCCGGAAACGACCAGCAACATCCCTATCGTGCCAGAACCAACGAAGCCTGAAGGTCGGGCATCCGGAAGGCGTTTCGCTACGGAGCTCGACGTTGAAAGGGCAATTCAGGAATCAGTCAAGGCAGAGGAAGAGCGCAAGGAACGCGAGGCCATTGCCCAAAAACAACGTTTTCGTAACGAGAAGGAGGCGATACCTCCTGATATGTACTGGACGGACGAGGACCGGAACAATGAGGACTTTGTGGACAGCTCTGGCCTCATGACGATTGACCAGCTCGTGCCGACCTGGAACATTCTTCCCCCCATCAACAACTTCACCGCAGAAGAGAACGAGCAATTCGAACGAGGCTATCTCGATAAGCCGAAACAGTGGGGCGTTATTGCGGATGGCGTCGAGGGGCGTGACTTCAAGACCTGCATCCTGTACTACTACTTGATGAAGAAGCACCTGAACCTGAAGGAGAGATACAAGAAGCAACCGAAGAAGAGGAAGAAGGCTGGAGGCAGAGCCAAGACTCGTTCGAGCGCCCTTGTCTCAGAACTCGGCAACAAAGATGCTGAGACCGAAGACAATCAAGAAGGCGGCGAGAACGGTGAGCGTGCAAGACGACCCAGGCGTGCAGCGGCCCCGACCTTCGACTTTGAGCGACCGCCGACCGACTCTGATAACGCAACACCTGCCGGGACCCCCGGGCGTCGGTCAGGGAAGAATAGTGATGGGACAGAGAAGGTCGATGGCAGGAAAAATAGGCGTCGTGCCAAAGACAAGGAGCCCAAGGCACCCAAGGCGGCCCAGGCCCTCGCCGCAGCTCCTGCTGCTGCTGGTCCAAACCGAGGAAGATCGCGATCGGACTCGCGCGTACAGAACCCCGAGATCCAGCAACCTGTCACGAACCCTCCGGAGTCCCGACTGCCCGCTCAGCTCGAAGCCCCATCAACCGGGATGCAGGCACCGTTCATGCCCGTACCTTTGCAACCGCAGCAGCCACCCGTTCCCCACGAAAGGCCTGCCCCGACTGTTCCATCTACTATATCCGAGGTCATGGCACCGCCATCCCTTCGACCTGAGCCTCCCCCACCCCCTCAGCCAACAATGCCGACTTTTGATCTTGGGCAACCCCAGCCTCAGCAGCCACCCCAGCCCCAATCCCTCCCAACGTCCCAGCCACAGCCAGCAACCGAGCGTCGTACCCACGTGCAACCTTCGAGCTACTGGAGTGTTTCCGAGGGAGAGGTGTTCCCTGGCTTATTGAAAGCCTTTGGCTCAGACTGGCACGCCATGGCGGCACACATGGGTTCGAAAACGGCCGTCATGGTCAAGAACTATTACGTCCGGCAGCGAGACTCTGGTAAAGTGGAATGGGAGCGATTTCTCCAGGAGGCCGACAAGAAGAAGAATCGAGGCGAAAAGCGGCCCGAGCCTCCCCCACCTCCAACACAGACGGGGCGAAAGAAGTACGATCCGGCATCAGCCACCCAAAACAGGCCCCTCGCATCATCGGCAACCCGAGAACAGGGTCTAGAGATTGCCCAAGGAAAGCCTGTCGAGAACCCACCTGTTCAGCCGTCTCAGTCACAGCCGTACGGCCGGTTTGCCGTGCCCATCGCGCAGGCGCCACCTGCAGCAACGCAGCCTTTTGCACAGAGTGTCCAGCAGCCTCCGCTGCAGATCCAGCAGCACAATGTGGCCCCACCAGGCGTCAGCCAGTCCATGTCGCCCAACAACCGACCGCTGAGAGCACCAATGCAACAAGTCTTTGGATACCCAGACCGAGAGCACGAGCTTTTGCAAGCCCAGGGCCCAAGTCAGCTACAGCAACCGCTTCGTGGCCCACAGAAGCCCACAACTGGGCCACCTGCACCTGAACACGTGCAGCCTCGGCCTCTTGCGGCAGCGCAGCCCATCCAGCCAACACCGCCTGCTCAAGCCGAGCCTCCACTGGACAGACAAAAGACAGAGATTCAGCAGCCGAAGAAGCCCCCTCGCGGCCCAGAGCGTGGCCGCTTCCAGACTGGGCCTCCGGAACTTGTGGAGAGACCGGTGGAGAGACAGAAGCCAGACATGCAGCAGCCGAAGCCGAAAGCTAGGAGGCCGGAACAGGGTCGTTTCGACACCGGACCCCGGTACCCAACCGAGGCCGAGCCTCCTTCTTACTACGACTCATTCCCGCTCCATCAATCCGGCCCTCGAGGTGCACCACCACGATCCGAGCCCCCCCCGTCAGCTCGGCAAGCTCACGATTCGCCCGCAGCCGCCCCGCAGCCCGGCCCTGTACCCCAGCCTTTCGGACAGCCGATGCCGCCACAGCACGGACCCCGCGGTCTGCTCGGTGACCCTTCTCAGCCGCCAGTCTCGACACCTCCAGCTCAAAGGCCGATCAGCACGGCACAGCGACAAATGTCAGGACGCATGTCTGACCCGTACCCTCCACAGCCGAAGCACCAGTCCCAGCCCACCACGCCTGTTGCGGCTGCCACGCCTCCGCCGCGTCCGGCGCAAGAACGAAAGACGTCAAGCCTCATGCAGCTTTTGAATGATGATCCGCCTGCGCAACCTAAACGTGCCAGCACGCCGGTCAAGACCCCGGCGCAACCGTCCCCTTCGCCGCACCCCGGATCCATGCTTAGAAATTCATCTGGACCGCCACCGCCGACGGGTATGGAGCTGCGTCCCGACCCAAGCCCACGAAACTACCACTATGGAGAGTCTGCACCACCTGCCACCTCCGGCATGCCACAGCTGAAGCCGAGCTATACAGCTTCGCCGCAGGCTCAGCACCTCAACCCTCCAAGGTCCGCCATTGTCTCACCACACGAGGCAGCTGTGGCATCCGAGCGTGAGTCCTACTATCGGCACCCGTATCAACAGCACGCCCAGGCCTCAGTTGCGAGCCCACCTGCAGGATCTCTTCACTACGCCAACCCACCTCAGGCGCCACGGGACTCCTACACAAGCCAGGCTGCCTATCCTCCATATGGTGGGGGCCCGACATCACACGCTGGCTCTCCCCCTCCTTCGTACGCATCCCAGCACCCGGGATCGAGACCAAGGGACCCGGCACCGCCCAGTCGGGAGACGGCTTGGCCATCGGGGCCACAAGGCCATAGCATGAACCAAGGGCCGCCCGCACCGCAACAACAAGCGGGATGGCCAACGTCACATGGCGCGGTTGCGAAGCAGGGACAGCAGGCACCGCCCCAGCAGCCATCGTGGGCATCACCTCACGGCGGAATACAGAAGCCACCGACGCCGTCATCCATGTCGCAGCAGCCGTCATGGGCAGCACCGCCCCCCCCTCAACAGCAGCAGCAACAGCAGCAGCAACAGCAGCAAGCACCGCCGCAGCAAGCGCAACATCACCTGTCACTGCGAGACGACCGGGGGCCGTCGTCGATGTACGGAGGACCAAGCGGGCACCAACACTCACACTCGATGTCCGGCAGGTTCCCACCAACGTCTCGAGCACCAGAGACGATGGCTCCGCAGGCTCCGCAGGCGTATCCGCCGCGCTACGCCACGCCAGGACCGCGCGACCAGGCGCCGCCCCGAAGCTACACACCCGTCTCGGCTTACGATGGCCGGGGTCCGCCTCAATCTCAATATGCGCCTGACCCGCGTGACCTGCAGATGCGACCAAACGACATGGTGCGGGATCACAGGGACCTTAGGGGTGATCCCAGGGATCCCCGCGAGGCGCAGCAGCAGCAGCAGCAGCAGCAACAACAGCAGCAGCAGATGATGGGTCGTCAGCTGCGGCCCCATGATGGCTACGAGAGGCAGCCGGACCGTTTTGGCCGGTAACGCATGTTAGGGACGAGAGCAGGAGTAGAAACGTTGCGTTGTTGGTTAGACAACGTTGGAATAGTTGGCGTTGATTTATTTTCTTTTCGTTTGCGGGGGAGGGAAAGGGGAGGGCTGTCGTTCCTGTTTTTTTCTCACCGTGTATACAAGTAGTCATGCCCAGAGGACACTGACAGGCGCTCAATAATGGAGTTTTTTCTTTTACAGGATGCATTTCACGAGTCACTTGTGCCTGCTCACCTGCCTACAAGGTAGTCGTCATGGAGCCGCGAGGCAATACAATCCCCACTGGCGTGTACGAATAGGGAAGCCAGCATGGCATGAACTCTTGAGGACGAAGTGAAATTATGATACCGATTATGGTATTGAAAGTGTGTAGAGGGCGGCGACACGTGATGCAGCGTGTAAATGAGCTTCAGTCTACAGTTCATGCTGCTGCTGGCTTTGCGTCGGTGGAGGGAAGAGGTGCACTGCAGAATCGGTGCGCTTGGGCCACTTCACATGTCCCCTCAAGTCCTTTCCCCAGGCTCCCAAGGCCCCAGACCTGGTGGTACCTAGTACCTAGGAGCAAGCCAAGCAAGCCTAGCAAGCCTAGCAAGCCTAGGTACCTCCCTAGGTAGGGGCAGGCAGGTGCCCCGCTCCTCTCCCACTGTGGTTGCCGCATCTGCATGAATGACATGAATGACATAACCGGGCATCGGGTGTCGCAGGACGTTCCTCATGGGTGGGCAGGCAAGCAAAAGGCAGGGTACCTCCTACCTACCTATGCAAGGTGGGCAGGGTGGGCAGGTGGCATGCCGAACGCCTCCTGCCCTGCATCTGCCGTCGGCACGACTAGAGTTGACCTCGGCTCGCACGACTAGGGATGCCATTTCATTCTCTTGCATCACCTTGGCTTGCAGTATCAATAAAGCATCATCCCAAGCGTACTCGGCCTCGAGTCATATCCCTCTACGATCCCCGTTGACGCCCATCCCAATTGTCCATCTTCCACACCTGTGCTCACCACGCCATCAACGCGCTATCCACGAGACTGACGTCGTCATCGCCCCAAACTGTTGCCATCGCCACCACTCCCACCAACACTATCACCATGTCGAAGCCTGTCCTCCCCCAGAATGACAACGTCGCCCACGCCCTCGCCGGCGCTGGCGGTGGTCTCCTGTCCATGGCTCTGACGTGCGTCTCTCCTTGACCTCACCTGCGAAGAAGGCGCCCGCTGACACGCGCCCACCAGCTACCCCCTCATTACTCTTTCGACCCGTGCCCAGGTCGAGTCCAAACGCGCCGAGTCTCGCTTCATCGACGCCGTTCAGAACATCATCGCTCGCGAGGGTGTTTCCGGCCTCTACTCCGGCCTCAACTCGGCCCTCTTCGGCATCAGTGTCACCAACTTTGTCTACTACTACTGGTACGAATGGACCCGCGCCTTCTTCGAGAAGGCCGCCGCGTCCCGCCCCGGCCGCGTCGCCGGCAAGCTCACGACCGTCGAGTCCATGCTCGCTGGCGCCCTCGCCGGCAGCGCCACCGTCATCATCACGAACCCCATCTGGGTCGTCAACACGCGCGTCACCACCCGCGGTCGCGCTCAGGAGGAGAAGGTCAAGGAGGGCGACGAGGAGGCCCAGGTTGAGAAGAAGAAGAAGGCCAAGACCCCCAGCACCCTCGGCGTGCTCCTGGCCCTCCTCAAGCATGAGGGACCCCAGGCCCTGTTCGCGGGCGTCATCCCCGCGCTGGTCCTCGTCATCAACCCTATCCTTCAGTACACGCTCTTTGAGCAGATGAAGAACTCGGTGGAGAAGAAGAGGCGCGTGACCCCCACTATTGCCTTCTTCCTCGGCGCCCTGGGCAAGCTCTTTGCCACATCCGTGACGTACCCCTACATCACGGTCAAGAGCCAGATGCACGTTGCCGCCCACGGCGAGAAGAAGGAGGGCGTCTTCCAGGCGATCAACCGTGTCGTCAAGGAGGAGGGATACAAGGGTCTCTACAAGGGTGCGTTATACCATGGCCAAGCCACATCGAACCCCTCGCTAAACAGTACCAGGTATCGGCCCCAAGGTGACCCAGAGCGTCCTGACGGCTGCTCTTCTCTTCGCCTTCAAGGACGTGCTCTACGAGCAGACTGTCAAGCTTCGCCTTGCCGCTGCCAAGAAGCGCGCTTGAGCGCACTTGTTCGGACAACATGTGTCTCCGCGTCATTGCTGACATGGAACGTGGACAGAACATCAAACACGTGTAAAAATTGTATATTGCGAAGGATATCAGATGAGATGTCTCGCACTGGGAGGACGGTTGAACGCTCGCTTGAGACGGAGTTAGTGATGCCCATGCTCACAGGGGCCGGAACCGGAAGGATTGGATACCACGAATTTAGTATGCTAGGCTGTAACGAGAATTATTCTTTTATGATATTGGAAGAAAAGAAAGAAGAAAGAAGAAAAAAAAGATTCTTCCCCAAGACGGCCTGCTGCCAATACCCCCCTCGGGAAAAAATCGCACAGGCATGTTCATCCCCTGGTAGCGGTCCACAGGGGTTGCAGGAGGAGGAGAGAGGGGAAACGGGACGATGGGGAGAAAACCCAGGAGCCTCGGCCCCTGCGGCACCCTAACTCCCTCCCCTCCCCCCCTTTCTCCCCAAACCAAGCATGAAGAGAAGCAGCTACCGCACCGGCAGGATCCTCGGCACGAGCCACCATTCGTGGTAGGCCTTGTCAGGGGTGGGCACCTCGGCCCTGAGCTTGAGGTCGCCGCCCTCGCCGGCCCGGTCGAGTGCCTTTTGCAGGACCGACACGGCGAGCCCCGTTGCGATGCACGACTTGAGCGCGCCCTTGACGCCGGGCAGCCAGCGCGCGTGCGACCCCACGGAGAAGGCCTCGGCCTCGGACAGCCGGCCCACGGCCTCGAGCGCCTTCTTGGACCCGGCGAGCCCGCGCTCCGCCAGCCGCAGCAGGTCCGCCGTCGACGTCGCGGGCTGGCGCGTGCCGGCTGTGAACTCGGCAAACGTCGGCAGCGCCGGGTGGCTGATGACGGCAAAGGGTTTCATGCGCGTCTCGTACCGCAGCTCGTCCGTGCTGTAGGGCCGCGGCTGCGGGCGGAGGAGGCCGAGGCGGTGCAGCGCCGTGTGCAGGCACGACATGGCGTCGGCCATTTCGGCCGTGATGGCGGCGTCGAGGAGCGCGAGTCGGATAAAGTTGAGCGACGTGGCAAACTGCGCTTCCGCCGCCGGCGTCAGACCGCGTGGGCCGCCGGCGCGCTGCTGCGTCAGGCTCCGCACGGTGAACGTCTTGATGCGCTCGACGTGCTGCAGGCGCTGGCGCGCCAGGTGCTGCAGATACCAGTACATGCCGGCGAGCTCGTCGGTCTGGTAGACCTCGAGCTCGAAGCCAAGCTGGACGATCCACTCCATCTGTCGGAGCTTGTAGAGGTGCGCCCACGACGAGAGCGACAGGGCGAACGTCTCGACGGACGCCCCGCCGTCGGCGGCGCGGTACACGATGGGCTGCGCGTCCGTCTGATGCTGCAGGATCTGGTCCACGTCCTCGGCCTCGAACTGGAGGTTCTCCCAGTCGCGGATCACGTGGCACAGCGTGCGCCGCACGCGGCACCGGTTCTGGCAAAAGGTCCGCAGGATGTCGAGGTACGGCTGCGCCGCCTTTTGGCGGAACGCCTCCATCGTCTCGGCCACGATGAAGCGCGGGTCCTGCGGCGCCTCGACGTCGTCGTTGGCCCGGTCCAGCAGCGTGCTGCACGGCAGCGCCACGATGGCGAGGTCGTTGTCCAGCAGCATGCGTATGCTCATGTGCCCGAGGACCTCCATGTCCTTGAACAGAAAGTTCTGCAGCAGCGTCCGGATGTAGATGAGAGCCTGGGGCTTTTTGGCCTGGAATGTGAGGACAAAGGTCTTGGTCGGTGGTCAGCATGGCAAACGGCAAGCAGGTCCTTTTTCTTTATAGAAACAATTTTTTTTGTCTCTCCTTTGAATATATTCTCTCACCTGCAGACATTGCGAGTCGTGGTACTCGAGCACGTCAATAACCTCGACGCCATCCTCAAAGAGTCGCTTGATGTGTCCAAAGGCGTCGTCGAAGCTCAGCTGCACGATCGGCCGCGGGGGCATGGTACTAGCGAGCTTCCGCTGCAGCTTTGCGCTGAATGCGTCGGGCACATGCTTTGCCAGCGCGTGGCTGCTCTGCAGTCCCTGCACCATGACGAGGGACTCCTTCCAGGGTGCTCGTATGAGATCGGGAGCGGTGCGGTACTGAATGGCGTCGGTGGCCGCCAGGAAACTGTGTCGTAACAGGAGCCGGTCATTGAGGGCCCGGATGATGTCGGTGGGCACCGAGTCCTCGAGACCTTGGAGGAGGCTGCTCGTTTCTAGAATGATGTGGCGAACGCTCTCGATGGAAAATTTGTCCAGGAGGTTTCTGTGGTATGTATTTGTGACAAAGTCTTCCTCCTGTCATGTTTGTTAGCACGACGAGCCGAACCAAGGGGTTTGTGTTTTAGCCAAGCACGAGCCTCGTAGTAGTGCTCGTTGATGATGCTCTCGTTGACCTGTCCGCACGTCTTGAGCAGACCGAGGCAGTACGCTCGCAGCACAGCGTGCATGGGCGAGGGCGTTGCGACGGCAGGATTTCTGATAAAGTGAGCTTCGTCGAGCGTCGAGGGCGCAGGCATCAGGATCGATTCGACATAGGCACAGGTGAAAACCGTCTGGGAGAGAGGGTAGCCGACATGCCAGGCCATCTACGAAGAGAGAGAGAGAAAAAAAACAAGATCAGCCTGAGTGAAGAGACGTGGCGAAATACGTGGGTGGCTCACTTCGTGGCAGAGCAGCTGGTCGATGATGCCGAGGACTTCTTCGGGCAGCAAGGGTTTTGATACGTCATAGTCGTTGTCGAGGGATTCACCCGGCTCCAAGCAGCCGCTGTCCATCTTGGGGTCCATGATCTGGGGTTGGCCTCATCAGCTTTGCGTGCTCTGGCAGGCGGCGGCGAGCGAGAGAGAAGCAAACCTCGAGAGCACCGACAGACTCGAACAGAGTGAAGAAGCCATCTTTGACGAGCTCGCCGGGTGCAAGTGCTGTCATGTGGTCAGCCGACGGGCCCTGTCGGACTTGCCGGTAGAAAAGAGATCCTCACTTGACGCTGCTTTCCGGAACCGAGACGTGATGTCGAATGCGACTATGCCAGGGTTCGACGCGGACGCCGGTACAGGTGGTGCGGGTCTCGGCTGCTCATGAGCGCGGATTTCCTCGAGGGAGAGCCTCGAGATGTCTGGATGGGGTCAGCGATCGAGGTCAAGAAGCAAGAACCGGGGCTATGTTCCGTGTACCTTGTGACGCCTCAAGAGCGGGCGAGGCCGCCATCGTGTGTGGTGGTGCAGAGCGATCGTGAGCCCCAAAGCTTGGCTGGCCATGCAGGTTGGAGGCGAGTTTGGTACGTGAGGTGCCCAGGCAAAAGTGAGTTGAAGTGAGGTGAAGTGAGGTAAGTGGAGGGGCTGTTCGTTCAAATGACAGGCGCCATTGATGCAAAATCCACCCAGTAGTACACAGTCACGACAGAAACGGGAAGGACCGAGGGAAGCGTTGAGATGCTGCTCGAACACATCCAGCAATGCGCAATGATTCCATCAAGAAAGAAAAGTCACACGCAGTAGACGGACAGCCTAAGCTCAGAACCAACATGGTGGTTCATGCTTGGGCGTCTGCCAGCGCAGACAGAAGTGGGCACGCGGCTTAGTGCCGAGTTTGCCCGGCAGACGCTGGCGGTACTGATGGTGGTGTAGGCATCGGACCCAGCCGCTGTCCAGCGACGCAACAGCACGCATGGGGAGACGGACAAGCATGTCGAGCCCATGGCAGAATCCAGTAGACCGCATCAGTAGCAGGAATTGATATCGAATAACGCGGATCGTCTCTATGATACAGCCGCCCCTTGACCAGCGGGCGAGCGGGCGGGGAGATGCATCTCGCAGGTATCCTCCTCCCTCCCGTCTACTTCCTCACACTCACAGACACCCTGCTGCTGCTGCTGCTGCTGGTGCCCCTGCTCTTCCACTGCCATCCATCATCCTCCCCTTTTGCGTTCGATACACGGGCTTACGAGGAGCCGGCGGCGGCGTTCTCGACAGCCTGAGCGGCGTTGGCCTTGACGAGGTCCTTGGGCTCGCCCATCTTGCCGTTCTGTTCGTCGCGGCATTGGGGTCAGCGTTCTGCTTCCATTTATGCTCTTCTTTTCCGCCCTTCTTGCCACGCCCCCTCCGTCCCCAGGGGGCGATCTGGCTCGGAGCAGGGTCATTCAGTGTCGGCTTACCTCCCACTTGGCGAACCTGATCTCGGCGACGGCACCGCGGCGCTCGGCGAGGATCCTCTTGTCCTCCTTGAGGCTGCGACGCACAGCACGTGCGGACACGGCCAGGAAGCGGTTGTAGCTGTGGTGCGGGAATCGGCGGGTCAGTTCTCGGAGGCCAGTTCACTTCGTTTTCCTGCCCATGGCGACGCGGGACATTCGGGCGGCCGGCGGGCGGGCTGGAGGGGGGGAGGGAATGGCAATGGCACTCACGTGATGCCGGCGGCTTTCCACGCGAAGACCATGTTGGCGATTGGTGACGGAGCGAGGACTGGTGATGGGAGAGATTGAGGGGAGTGGTAGTTGTGGGTGCGGTGGTGGTGATGCCAATTGAAGGTTCTCGGTCGGGATTTGCGTCGGAAGCTCACTTCTGGTGTTTCGGCCTGAGGCGACGACTAGAAAGGTACATGGTACATGGAAGGTGGACCTCACCAAACACACCAACGCACCCAACAGTCATCCTCCTCCTCCTCCTCTGGCCTCCCTCCTCCATCCACCCGGAAAGCCCCGCCTCGACACACCTTGCCCGTGTTCCCATCTTCTCGATCAGCATAGCCAGTCGCTTCTGAGGCCGGTTCTGTCTGAGGCCTGTTGATGTCTTGTGTGTCTGATGTTCGGCGAGCATCAGCCCTGCCCACCTCGGACAACAGACGGAGCGTCCCATCCCAGTGGACCTCAGGGCAATGCAATGCCTGTATGCCGACACTTGCCTAGAGCTCACCCGGAGACCATGGATTGATTCGCCCGCCCTGTGACGAATTCGGCAACGTCTTTGCGCGGCGCACTCGCACTCGCACCTGCGTTGGGGGAGGCTGTCGCTGATGCAGCCAATACTGCATGTCCATCAAGCCTAGCTGAGCGAACTGACTTCACGCTACAACAACGCCGCGTGGTATTCATCCATTGTTGCCGCAAGCCAGCCTCACGCGATGTGGCTCTCCTGTCTGTCCACATGCATAGACGATGGCCCTGAGTAGGAGCTGTGACTACTTATACGACGTTTGACTGTCCCCAACAAGGGCACGCGTACGGTGTTCATCGTCTCCCATCGTCTGTCGTCGTCTCCCATCATCTATCGGCACCTTCAACATGACCGCCTCCCAGGATGCACCAGTTCCTCCGGCCATGGGGCCTAAGATTGCCATCATCGGTGCTGGCCCGGCTGGTACATTATTCATTTTTTTTTTGCTCTCACCCCTCTGTGCCTTGTCCCGTCTAACAGTCCTCAGGCTGCATGCTCGCGAGACTCCTCCATCGGGCCAATGTGAGCGTCACCGTGTTTGAGAGCGAGGCGTCGCTCGATTTTCGATCTCAAGGCGGGACTTTGGACCTCCACACGTCGACCGGCCTCCTTGCCATGAAGGAGGCCGGATTATGGGACGAATTCCTCGAACACGCGCGATATGACGGGCAGTACATCGCCTGGGTCGACCAGCACGCGCGCCAGCATTTCGTCATGGGAGCCTCCAGTGCGCGGAGCGACGTCCAAGAACGGCCCGAAATCGACCGCGCGCAGCTGCGGCGCATCCTCGCGGCATCCCTCCCCGAGGGCATCATCAAGTGGGATCATCGTCTTCGGCGTGTCGAGGCGCCCAACACGCTCGTCTTTGACAAGCTGACGACGTCGGACTTTGACCTCGTCGTGGGTGCCGAGGGCGCCTGGAGCAAAGTCCGCAAATTCATCAAGCCCGACGTTGATCCCACCTACACCGGCATCGGACTCTACGAGCTCAGCATCCCCAACGCGCGCGCGACGGCCCCGGGGCTCTACACGCTCGTCAACAGGGGCAGTGTTTTTGGTCACGCGGACGGAAAGCGCCTCTCGATTCAGCAGATGGGCGACGGCAGCCTCAACGTTTACCTATCGTCCTTGCAAGACGAGGCGGACTGGATGAGGCCGGAGAAGTGCGGGCACGACACATCCGACCTGGCAGCCGCCAAAGAGGCCTTGATGGAGGAGTATCGCGACTGGGACAGCACCATCACCGACGCAATCCTCAAGGCACAAGGGGACTGCAAGACGAGGTCATTGTACATGCTGCCCGTCGGCTTCCGATGGGCACACCACCGAGGTGTCACCGTCATTGGCGATGCCGCGCATCTCATGGGGCCCTTTGCTGGGGAGGGCGTCAACGTGGCCCTCGAGGACGCCATGAGGCTGGCGGCGTCCATCATCGCGGCCGCCGAGAAGACGGAGGATGGGAAGGAGACGCTGGACCAGCAGGTGGACGCCTTTGAGAGGGACATGTTCCCGCGCATGGAAAAGGTGCAGCGGCTGACGGACGAGCTGATGCACGATTACTTCTACACGCCGGGTGTACCGCAGAGCATCATGGCACGGGTTCTCACGAGGCATGTCCAGTTTTCGACGCCGGCGATACTGCACCCGCTGGCGACGTTGGGGGTGCATGGTTATTTGTTTTGGAACAGCCTGGCCTCCCGGTGGCGGTGAGGTTGCTCGGGTGTATCTGCACTGCTAGTGCTGAGGTTCGGATAGCTTGGGACAAGGTGTTTCTAGACCAGGCCAAAGTTGCTGGCATGCTCGAGAGAGAGGAATGCGATTGTCTCTCGATCTACGATCAGCGTGTAAGCCTTGGACGCAATCTGGGACGGTGGAGTCAGATGTGCTTGGTGTAGCGAGAAAGAGAGAGAGAGAGAGACAGCCGTCAGTTGGTGTATCCAGGTTGAACCTCAGTTAGTTTAGATCGGATGCCACGGTCCATGATGATCCCCTCATTGCTTGCTTTATGCTCGACGGCCTCACAGACGTCGAGTGTTTGTTGAAACGTTTCACCAGGCCAAGGAGGGTGGGAGGGGGGGGGTCCGGGGGTCCTGGTACTAAGGTTCCTTAGGGGGGAACCCTTTTTGGGGGAACCTTAGGGGTTCCAGCGGGGTTCCCCAACAGCTGTCGAAAGCAGGTACAGGCCATTCAGGCTGGCGTGGCTGGCGACGGTGCAGGGCACGTGCGCGTGGGTACACTGGCTGGCCGGGGCATGAAGGAACCTCTGTGTACCTACCTACCTAGATTCCTATCCAAGTAACTCCCTGGGTACCCCCAGAGGTTCAAGCCACACACCCCAGTGAGACACGCCAGCAGCCGGCTGACCTGGTTGGCTACCTGGCTACCTGGCTACTACCTGAGGTACCTTCCTGGCTCGACACGGCCTGACCTCAGTCCTGGAGATCCCCTATCGACCTGCATCTCAGCCCGGAGTCTTTGCATCCTCCATCCATCCTGGCCCGAACGCACCTGACCCGTTCCTGTCGTCGTCCCGTTTCGCTCGTCCACTCGACAGTGTAATCACCATCTCGTCTCCGCCTTCGACAAGACTTCTTGCGCCGCCCGACGTCGCCCACAGCGCCTCTCCTCATGGACGTCTGATCTGGCACCGGTGCCCACCAAGCGCTCTGGCTCCCTGTCCCCTCCCCATCGTTTACTCTCCCGATTTGTTTCCACTCGATATTCTATTCGGTACATCTGTTGGCCGCACGCCGCGCTCATAATACAACAAGGAAAAAAAAGGGGGGAAGGACACCTAATCGGCCGTCGCGTAGCAGAGAGACAGGAGGTGGAACGATCCTACGGCCGCGCAACAAACCGAACATTGTGCCCACCCAGCAAAAAGGCGCCGCATCGTCCTCACGTTTGTTGCAACCTCGCCGCCCGTTCGCAAACGACGCGCCGTCCCGGTCACGACCGCCACGATGCAAGCACCTGGCCCATCACGCATGCAGCGCCGCTCCCCCGGCGCCACCGAACCTGGCCCTCCTCCAAATGTCCCCGTTCGCTCCATCTCGCCCGGCGTTGGCATGAACCCCCAGATGCGGTCGTCGACCGCCTCGAGCCGGTCCGCGCAGTCTAGCAGCTCGCGCAGAGGAAAGGTGCGCCAGTTGCTGCCCTCGTTCTGTCTCTTTCTGGCTTCGTCCCACCGCTTTGCAGGCGTGCTGGGTCTGACCGACCCTCTGAGCCGCCTGCCCTCTTTCTACGCGTCGTGTGCTCGCCCCTGCTGGGATCTGCGGCATGCTTCTTGGTGCCGTGGTGCTGACGTGTATCCTTGTAGGACTCGACGGGGTCTGCGAACATGCCCCTTTCCCAAATCGAGAAGAGCGTCACCCATCTCCTTGTCGCTACCAAACAGCTGCTCGAAACCCTGACACAATGGTCTCGAGGCCAGGCGACCGACGGCCAAGTGTCCGATGTATATGTTAGGCTGGGATACGAGTTCAACATGGCCTGTCGCGCGTTCAGCGCTATCAATGTCGACACGTCCGACTTGGGCAATGTTCCAGAACTTCTTCGCAACATACTCGAGTCGACTCTGAGCCAGGAAGCGAGCACAGAAAGCCTCGAAAAATACCTGCCAAGGATACGAGACATTATTATCAACTTGTTACACGGCCTCAAGAGGAAACAGCAGAAACTCCGGCAGAAACAGGCGCGGGACAGGGAAGCCGGCGCATCAAGTTCTGCCCCGGAACGCACCGTCAGCACGAGCACCGTCGCCAGCGGCAATACTGGCCTGACCAACCTGCTGGAGGAGGGCATACAAAATGGCTATCGGCCGGATTTGCAGTCGAAAGAGACGTCGGGCCAGTCTTCAAATCCCAACGCAAACCCGAATGCGTCGCCGAGCCGTCGTTTCCCGCCGCGGGACCAGTCCAGGACCTCACTCGTCTCGGACCAGTCTTCCATGTCGAGCAACACGATGCAGAACATGCCAGTCATGCCACCCTACCCCGGCGACGAGACGGCCATGCCCGCCGGCCCACCCAACGCGGATCTCAATCTTGACGCCTTCCCGCCGCCGCCGCCGCCACCGCCGCCTCCAAAGCAGGCCAGCAGCGCGCTGGCCGCTCTTCAAAAGGGTGGTGACCTCGAGAGGAGGGCGTCGCGGAGATACTCGCAGTACCAGATCTCCAAACACCTCGGAGGACCCATGACCGGCGTGCCTATGCTCCCCTCGCAGAACACGCCAATACCAAATCGTGGCAGAGGCGAGGTCCGGGAGTCGTTGCGTGCCGTCCAAGTCCGTGAATCCGTGCGTCACAGCCGGAGCACCTCGAACCAGTCAGCACGCGGCGCAGGGTACGAACCCTCGCCTGTCCGGGCGCCGAGCCGCATCGCCGAGGAGATTTCCACATCAGATCTCCCGCCCAGGTCGGGCATGGTTGACAGTCCGACAGCAAAGACCCCGGAAGACAAGTACCCCAAGCCAAGCGCAACACTCAACGGACCGTTGCCGAGCGATCTGCCGGACCTGCCCCCGTACTCGCCTGAAAAGGAGAAGACTGAGCCGGTGCCAACGTCGGTACTTGATAAGGAGCAGCCACCCCTGCCCCGGGAGGTCAAGACGCCCGAGAAGAAACGGGCCGAGAATTTCCTCCAGGAGGCCTCGCCTCCCTTGACCAAGGACCTGACCCTCTTCCTTCAGTACAAGTCGAAGGTCAAGAAATTCGTCCTGCCCGAGGGCTATAGTGATCTCTCGATTGGGCGTCTGCAACTGGCGTTTATCGAGAAGTTTTCCTGGAACACACATTCGAATGGAGCAGATCTACCCGACATCTATATCCAAGACCCTGTTTCCGGTGTGCGACACGAGCTGGAGGATCTGTCAGACATCAAGGACCGAACAGTCTTGGTGTTGAACATTGAAGCCTTGGACGAAGTAAAGCGCCATGTTGATGAAGGCATCGGGTCACTGAAACAGATCATCCAGGACGTCAAGCAAGGCATGAGTGACCAGAGCATTGCGCTGCAATTAGTCTCAGAGCGTCAGCAGGAGACGGCCACCGAACTGGCCAGGCTGGCCGCCGCGCCTCCCACGATTGTGCAGACGGCAGAGGGCTCCAAGGCCACGGCCGTTGCCTCGGGTCGCAAGCTGACCCCAGGCCACCTGACCGAGCTCCAAATCTTGCGCCGTGACCTTGCCGTCATGCGTCAGACGTACTCGAACTTTCAATCTGAGATTCAGGGCTCCATGACCGCCATTCGCGCCAAGGCGAGCAACGTCAAGGCGGCAACGATCAACGCGTCCGTGCCGCACATCAACGGCGACGGCGGCTACACCTACGTCTCCAAGGGCCGCGAGCAGCTCAACCAGGACTCGGATAGGCTCGTGACCAAGGTGGACGACTTGCAAGACACAGTCGAGGACCTCCGCAAGGACGTCGTGCACCGCGGCGTGCGCCCCCTGCCCAGGCAGCTGGAGGGTGTGGCCAAGGACATCACGCGCCTGACGATGGAGCTCAAGAAGGTGGAGGATTACATGAAGCAGGAGAAACCCATCTGGACCAAGATTTGGGAGAAGGAGCTCGAGGACGTCTGCAAGGGCCGCGACGAGCTGCGCCTTATGGAGGATCTCATGGTCGATCTGCAGGACGATCTCGAGAAGGCCTCGGAAACATTCGCCCTCGTCGAGGCTGCCACCAAGGAGCAGCTCAAGGACAACGGCACCGGCGCGTCGGCCGGCAACGCCCGCAACTTTTCCAAGGGCCTCAACAGCCTCGGCAACTCGCTCGACCAGAACGCCGCCAAGGAGGGCGTCCTCGGCGAGGTCCGCGCCCTGATGCCCAACCACGAGGACCGCCTCGAGGCCATCGAGCGTGCCGAGAAGCTGCGCCAGCGCGAGCTCGCCACGCGCAACACGAACAAGCTGCAGCAGGAGCTGACCAACTTTGTCGAGGAGGGCAGGCTCAAAAAGTCCGGCGGGTTCGAGGAGGTCGAGCGCGCGCGCACGGCCAAGGATGAACGCATCCGACGGGAGGTCTGGGAGCGGCAGAACGGTCTCATCATGGACGACTTTGGCGACGAGGAGTTTGACGAGGACGAAGAGTTTGAAGGAGAAGAAGGCGTCGAAGAGCCAGGGGACGAGCAGCTGCTGGAGGATGTCAATGGCGACGAGGCGGCCGTCGACACACCGCCTTCGCCGCCGCCGGCCGAGGCAGCGGCCCCGGTCGTCAACGGAAATGTGTCATGAGAGGACGAATGAGCGGCGTATGGAAAAGACAGGCGCCTACCCTTTCCCCCTTTTCACGGCTTTCGGGACGTTGTACGAGAGTATGCATGGGAATGATGCCTGGTCAGGTGTTCTTTTTGGCCGTTTTCGTGTTTCTCTCTCTCTCTCTTTCTCTCTCTGCTTCTTCCTGTGGCGCGGGGACACCAAACCTGCTTCCACACACGTTCTGTCAGTTGTCTACAATTAGTTCTCACACATAGTCGATAGCCGGGCATTCGCGAGCATTGCCGGTTCGGGTCATACATAGCCGTTGCATTCACCTTTACACTATCGGGTGCTGGACATGTTTTATCCGGATGAAGCTGCCTGTGTGTTTGGTGTCATGATGAAGATTGTTATTGACCTGACGTGCTGCTCTCCCGTGTTTATACCTTGGACACATTGCCCCCGCAAACGACGGAGATGTCTCTCGAAAAGCAAGACCATATGGCGGTTTTCATCATATATATGTATTGCGTGTCAGGCACGCCCTCTCCCGAGATGACAGCTCAAGGTTCTTGACTCGAGCCGCACCGTCCACGGTGAGCTCTAAACTTGACGCCTCCTCCATTCATTTGCTTGTTTGCTTGTCATATAATCATAAACTCCTCTTCATGCCACACATCCTCTCGGCTGACAAGGCTGTCCTCGTGCATATTCACAACACCAAGCCGTTCGAAGCACGTCGCGTCGTCTCCGTAGAGACCATTGTTGCCCAGAATCAGGCAAAAGGGCCCCCCTCCGTTGAGCAACCTCGCCACCATCATGATACGCACCGTGAAGTCCATGTTGGCTTTTCGTTCCAGCCAGTCGCCGCCTCCGTCCACGCGCGCGCCCGTGGTGACGGATCCGTTGAGGACAACGCGGGACTCCAGCGGCGTGTCGATGCCGATACCGCGGTGGCTCGGGGCCGGCACGACGTCTCCCAAGACGTTCAGCAGCTTCAGACCGACGGCGGGCCTCGAGGCGGGTCTGGGTCTCCCGTCCTTCGGATCGACAAAGCTGTTCGAGTAGATGGTCAGGACGGCCGTCGCGAGCCGTCCCCGGATGCGCAGCCACCCGCCCGTCACCTCGCCGTAGGGGTTCGCCGAGCTGACGTCCGTGTGGGCGTCGAGGACCCGGAATTTCCAGTCGCTCTCGGCGCCCTTGCCCACGACGTCGCCCAGGCCGTCGAGGCACGTCGGCCCGTCTATGGAGGCCCAGCTCCACGACGGCGCGCGGTAGACCCGCGTCGTGCGGCAGCGCGAGCCCTCCCCCTCCTCGTCGTCGTCGTCGTCGTCGTGAAGCCCCACCATGAGCGAGCTCCGTGTGAGGGCGCCGCGCTTGTTCGGGTCGGCAGTCCACGTGAGGGCGCCGGCGAGGTCCTGGCGCCACATGCCGGCGAGATACGTGTCGCCCGGCCGCGCGGCGTGGAAGCGCCGCGCCAGCGCCGAGATGGCCGGCAGCACGTCGCGCGCGTGCGTCAGCCGGCGTTTGGACACCTGCTCGATGATGCCGACACCCCACAGGTCGTAGAGGCTGCGGGGGTCGGCCTCGCGGCGCAGCAGGTCGAGGAACCGGCGCTCCTTGTCGCGGAAGAAGTTGTCGCCGGCGACGCCGACGTTGGCGCGGTAGAACGGGTCGGCGTGGATGCCGCTGCCCGTCTCGCAGCGCGCGCCCGTGTGGCACTCGAAGAAGACGGCCGAGGAGAAGGTCAGGATGCGCCGCGGCATGATGCGCTCCTGAAAGGTCCACGCGCGCGTGTGCAGGGGGTCCTGGAGCGTCGTGGCGCGCACGTCGAAGACGCGCCGCGCTTGCACGCCCGACGGCCCGCCAAAGGGGTCCATGTCGATGGTGCGCGACGCAAAGTGCTCGCGCCCGGGCGAGCCGCCGAGGAACCCTTGGCGGTCGCCGGCTGCCGTTGCTGCGGCCACTGTGAGGTAGGCTCGCTCGTAGATGAAGCCCATCTTCAGCGACTCGACGGCCCAGTCGTCTCTGTGGTGGTACGAGGCGAGTCAGCACAGGGGGGGGCTTGCCACGGTGTTCGACCACGCTGCGAGGGGGGGGTTTCGCTCACTCGTCATCTTGTATTATGCAAAGAGAGTCGATCCACATGTACTCGACGTCGAGTTGTCGAGCGACGGTGATGGCATCCTGAAACGTTCGAGGCAGGTCCTTCCACTCGATACCTTCTTCGCGCTGCGTGAGGGTTGCCCATGTGGTCGTCAAAGGCGCGTCGGGCCCCCAGCAGTGGCTCAGAGCAATGTATCGCGCATCTTCTGGGAAACTGGCTGTCACGCAGAGATCGGGGCGGGCTGCGGGCCCAATATGCAGCAGCCGCCGCGGCAGCTCACCAGTGACCTGTGAACACGCAGGGTGCTCCTCCTCGCACTCGTGGAGAACCTGTCGCATCTCGTCGTAGAGTCCTGGATCGCGAAGATCCTCGCGTAGGGGCGTTGCTGACCCAAGCATGTCCAGCAGACAGCCTGCGTCCTTTTCACGGAACACCTCGACGACGCTGCGGCCGACCCGAGCATCATCCCAGAGAACGTAGAAGGGGGCGTTCGGCTTTGCATGGAGAGACAGGACCGAGTAGCCATGGATTTGCACATCGCAACCCATGGCCAGGAGTGAATAGTATATGACGTAGCAGAACCGGCACTGCTCCTCGTAGGCCGACTCGGCCACCTGAAAAAAGTCGACTCTCATCGGCGCCCCGGGGCTCTGTCGTCGGCCATGTGACGGTGTCGTCCATCGCTCAAGAGACCAGTTCTTGCATACAGGACAGACAGAGTTCGACGAACTCCCGCTTGGCTCTGGCGACGGACGGAGAAACACAGGACCAGAGCCCTTTCCCGGGCGGGTGTGATACGCCATGTTGGCTGCGCAAAGCTGTCCTATCGTACATGAGTGAACGAGTCTTTCCAGGTGCCAGGAGTTCTCACCACTCGGCCTACCCCTCACTGTCTACGGCGACGCCAAGATGGGTGAGAGCGATGATCCGCAGGGCAAGGTGATTCGGGTGCCAAACCAGCAGGGCCAACAGCAGTTTTGAGGATTCTGACTTGTTGTCATGTTGAGAAACAGAGTACCAGGCAAGGCTGTAGCCGAGCAATGGCAGTGCATGTCACTCCAATGAATTTCGGCCCCTGCGCCACGTCAACCCCCCTCTTCAGCTTCAGCCGAATCCTCCACACAGCAGCAACTCGATCGATTGGTCGAGGAGGTCTTGTTTTTGCTGCAAGATTCGTCGCATATCTTTGCTGAAGGGGTTCTGTTCCTATTCTAGGCACGTGGGCAATTCGAACGACTTGCCGATGAACCCGGATCGATCACGATAGCACCATGTTTGCATCCCCATTGACACTCTCTGCAGGTTCACACCTGACCGGGGGCCACGATTGAAAACTACATACAATTTAGCCATCTCGAAAACGCCCATGCGCAGAAGGTATTAAAAAACGCCCAGCAATGCCATGCCAAAACGCCTGCGAAACCCAAGACAATCCAAGGAGCATGTGCCGCCGCCGCCCCCGTCGCACACCCTACTTCTCCCGCGCCAGCACCATCTTCTCGCGCTCGCTGCGCCTCTTCTGGAACTGCTTCTTCGTGTGCCGCCTCTCGTTCTCTTCCCTCCTCTTGATCGACTTGAGCTCCTGCGCCTTGATCTCGCCCGCCTTCTTGACGACCGTCGGGATGTGCCGGTGACGCTTGATGCGGCGCACCTCGGGCATGTGGCTGAAGCGCTCGATGAGGGCATTGTTGTACTCGAGGGCTTGTCGGTGGCGCGCCGACTTGACGCCCGACCGCTCCGAAGCGTTGGTGCGCCAGAGACGCACGTTGCCGTCGTCGGAGCCCGAGAGGACGTACTTGGAATCGGGCGTGAACATGGTGCTGAACACGCGCTGCATGCGCTTCGTGTGGTAGATGTCGCGCGAGTGGCCTTGGTCGCGGTTCCAGAGGCGAATCGTGCGATCGTACGAGCCCGAGACGAGCTCCTGGCCCGTGGGGCTGAACTCGACGGACATGACCGAGGCAACGTGGTCCTTGAGCACATTGAGCGCCCTGTCGAACTTGCGCATGTCGAAGATCTGGCCACCCCTGTTAGCAGTCTGTTGCACCAAGGAGCAGTGTTCGGAGCAAGCGACTCACGTAAATGTTGTGATCTTCGCTGCCCACCGCAAAGTTGAAGGCCTCCATGGGGTTCCACGAGATGGTGTTGCAGGCAAAGTTGAGCGTTGTCCTCGTCAGAGGCATCGAGGTCCTGAGGTCGAACAGGACGATCGATCGGTCGAGGCCGCACGCCGCAAGCACCGACGTCTCCACCTGGTTGAATGCCACGGCATTGATTGTGTCGACAGAGTTGGGCCAGCCCAGCACGTCTGGCGCGGCATTGTGGCGTTCCAGGTCATAGATGGCCACCGAGCTCGACGACGAAGACGCGGCAAAGACGTTGCGCGACCGGTGCATCGACAGGTCCGTGAAGCCGCTGTTGCCGAGCCACGACGAGATGGGCGCAGACTCGCTCGGTGTGTTGTAGGGATCCCACAGCTTGATGGTCTTGTCGGACGCCGCGCTGAGCAGGCGCTGATCCTTGGTCCAGCAGACGCTCCTGACAATGTTCTCGTGTGCGCTCTTCGTCTGCCAGACCTCGTCCCGGCTCGTCATGTCAAACACCTTGACAGCGCCGTCGCCACTCGCCGACGCAAACCGTTGCAGACTGTTGGGGTCCTTTGCCATTGTGTAGACACCGTCGACGTGGCCCTGGCCGAGCTCGGCCACGAAGGGCGCCGCGTGCATGCGCTCGAGTTTGACCGCATTGAGAGCTTTCGTGTATCTGGTCGCCGTTAGCTTTGGACATGGCCAGAAGAGCTGCATTTCGGGTCACTGACTCTCTCGCACGCTCGAAGGGATGGGCGCCAGGATCGAGGTTACGCGGCTGCTTGACGACCTCTGTTCCAGGCGGGTTGTACTCGGACACCGACCGACTAAGAGCTTTGATCTTCATGGCGAAAGTGGCCCAGAGCCCAAGGTGACAATTCGTTTCGGTACTGATATCGACGAGACGATGATCGAAGGGGTCCCGGAGCTTCGTTGAAGCAAGGGTTGCGTCTGGAGATCGAGTTTGCGTGTTGCGTGCAACGGACCCAAACAGTTATGATTTCCAAAGATCTTCTGGATCCTCGCCTCGTTCACTTGGGCCATCTCCAAAAATTTCCAGAGCGTTTGGCGGGGTGTGGGGCTTATCGGAGTATAATCTCGAATCAGAGCGCGCCTTGGATCAATCACGGCCCGTTGTAGGAGGTACGGCAGGCTCCCTTTGGCTACGGTGCACCACAAAGAAGGATCTTAAGCCTGTCTTTGCCTATCAAGCTGGAAAGTCCCACAAAGCATGATCCCCATTATCCACATATCCGGATATCTCGTTACTACTGATTAGTAACAGGCCGCCCAAGCAACTGACGGGAAAGGTGGGAGCTTCAGGCAGCCCAGCTGCATCACCACCAAACCGCCTCAACCCTGTGCTGTGCTCTAAACGGTCGACCCTCCACGATCCCTCCGATCTCCGACAACAGCAACGCCCCCCGCATCAACACATATACACTCTGCTGCACACACCCCCAACACATACCGCACCACCGACACATCTTCAGCCATGGCTCAGGGCGACTCGGCAAGGGTGCAGGATGCCCAAAAGCTGGCGAAATCGAACCCTCGCGAAGCGGAGCAGGCCTACAAAGAGATCCTGTCGAAACCGCCATCTGCGACGTCTGATGCCGCCATCAAGGAGTACGAATCGGCGTTGATAAGCTTGGGCGAGCTGTACCGGGATGAGAAGTAAGCTGCACCAAGGGCCGCATGGCGGCTGATGCCACGCTGGCGCATGAGCAGCCGTGATTGACTGACCGTACCAGGAATGCGCAAGCGCTCGTGGATTTGGTGACGACAAGCCGAACGACTCTCTCATCGTTCGCCAAGGCAAAGACGGCAAAGCTTGGTGAGATGACTCCCTCCACACCCCCTCATGGACCCGGCGACTCACACTGTGACCTCCCTAGTCCGCCAGCTCCTTGACCTGTTCGATGCCATCCCCAACACCACCGACACACAGATCGCCGTCACCAAGTCATGTATAGAGTGGGCGACCTCCGAGCGCCGGAGCTTCCTGCGCCAGAACCTCGAGACCCGTCTCGTCACCCTCCTCATGGCCAAGCAGTCCTACTACGATGCCCTCACCCTCATCAACGGCCTGCTGCGCGAGCTCAAGCGTCTCGACGACAAGCTTGTCCTCGTCGAGGTCCAGCTTCTCGAGTCGCGCGTCTACCACGCCCTCGGCAACATTCCCAAAGCCCGCGCCGCCCTGACGAGCGCCCGAACGAGCGCCGCCTCCGTCTACACGCCACCCCTGCTGCAGGCCAACCTCGACATGCAGAGCGGCATGCTCCACGCCGAGGACAAGGACTTCAACACGGCCTTCTCCTACTTCATCGAGGCCCTCGACGGCTACCACACGCAGGACGAGCCCGTCAAGGCCACCGCCGCCCTGCAGTACATGCTGCTCTGCAAGATCATGCTCAACCTCGCCGACGACGTCAACAACCTCATGGCCTCGAAGCAGGCCCAGAAGTACGCCGGCCAGAACCTCGAGGCCATGAAGGCCATTGCGCGCGCGCACTCGAACCGCTCCCTCGAGGAGTACGAGCGCGCCCTGACCTCGTACCGCTACGAGCTCGGCTCCGACGCCTTCATCCGCAACCACCTGCGCCGTCTCTACGACGCCATGCTCGAGCAGAACCTCATCAAGGTCATCGAGCCCTTCTCCCGCGTCGAGATTGACCACATTGCCAAGATGGTCGGCCTCGACACCCAGCAGGTCGAGCGCAAGCTCTCCCAGATGATCCTCGACAAGGTCATCATTGGCGTGCTCGACCAGGGCGCCGGCTGCCTCATCATCTTTGATGAGACGCACCGTGACGAGTCGTACGACCACGCCCTGGCGACGATCGAGAAGCTCGGCGGTGTGGTGGACGTGCTCTACACGAACCAGGCCTCGCAGCTGGAGTAGGCCGGGAGAGGGCCCGGCGAGAGGGGGGGGGGGGCGGCGAGCTGTAGTGTAACAACATCATAGATACCGCTGGTGAAGACGCCGGACGCGAATCATTCGATGCCATGTCCATCGCCTGTCGTCTGCTGCGTGCCCGCCTGAAGTGAGTCGTCATCGTGGGTCTGGATCATGTGTGTGAATGTGAAATTCGCGGCTCGTACATTCCTCTAATTCTAGTACCGCCCAGCGCCTCCACGTGAGCAGCATCATGACCAGTTCTTCATGGCACAATAAGACATCGAACCACCTGGATGGGATCGCTATGTACTCGCTCATTCATTCATTCAGTGAATCCTATGGTACCTCGACACTCCCTGACACGGGTATCTCCAACACCAAACCCCCTACGGCGGGTACCAAAACGCCCCTGACACCCAAGTCCATTCCTGATTGCGCAGACCCTCGTCCCCTGCTCTCGAGAGCGAAAGGCTTCTGTGTTCGGACATGCTAGAACTTCATGACAGCTCAACGCCAAGTGCTCTCAAAGGTCGTAGTGATGCCAATCGGCGCTGTAAGGCGATTCCCAACCGTCGTCCCCTTTTCCTAAACGCCTTCGAGAAACCCAAAACAAGAAAAAGCCCCCAAAGGCCTTCGTCGTCCAAACATGACCTCGTTCTCCTCGTGGAAGTGAAAAGACAAAATGCAACGCTATGCCGCCATAGAATGCAATACAAAGACTCCAAAACCAAAACACCGATACTGGCGAAAAGCCACTCACGTAGCAGCTGTGCCTCCCCTCGTCTGTCATGCGCGCACCCTTAAACTCCCGAGT